GATATAAATTGTGATGCGTTCTAAATTTTTCTACACTTTAATTATAGGTTTACATTGTAATAGAAGAATAGTAGATATAGCTAAATTATAATAAATTCATTTTATTTTGTAGATTGTTGTTAGTTGCTTATTGTTATAATTGAACTGATAAAATATATTGATTATGTTAAAGAATAACATAGTGTTTCATAATCAAACAAGTTTACATTGAATACTTAAAATGTAATAGAGGATATCACTGAATTTATATATATATATATATATATATATATATATATATATATATATATATATATATATATATATATATATATATATATATATATATATATATATAGAACATTTTGAAAAGACTTTGAAAATGTGTAACACGGTAACTTTACAGATTACGTAATAAATCGTTGAAGATATTTAAGATTTTACACAGGTTCAGAAAAAAACCTAGGATGAAAACAGTATAATGAGAGCAGAACTACTCGAGATTTTTCATTGAGACCACGAAGTGATCCAAGTTAGACTACCAGCCAAAGCCTGGAAACACTGGATGACCGTTTTTACCTAGCATAGAAATTCTCAACAGTGTGTATTCAGAACCCTCCACGCGAGGCGCAAACCCAGGACTTTCAGCTTCGCCCGCACACTTTGCCTTTAGACCAATCAGTCGGCATTCAACGGTTATAATTTTTTAACTTCAATCGAACCACATATTCAAGATGACTGGGGTATTAAATGAGTAGGTTAATGAGTAAACAAAATAATTTAAATTATTTATGGGAGCGGTAATTCCACAATTATTTTCTGATTTCATGGATTAGTTTTAAGTTTTTTTTAAAGTAAGTAAAACACTGACTTTGCATTTGTTTTCATGACTAATATTCATTAAATGATGCACTATCATACTGTTACAGACTTCGACAACTCTAATTCACATTTTCTCCGAAAAGTGCTCAGAAACGCAATTCACATGATCTCCTTATTCTCTTTATTCACCTGAATTGGAATTCACATATTGTTTAGGAGGTTTACTTATGAAATTTATATGAGTATTTTAAGAGTTAAGTGCAACATTTTGTAGTTATATGAATTTGTTTTGTTTTCAATTGATTGGAAATTGAGTAGTGACTAAAATCATGTATGTAATGTGTTTCCTAGCGCTAACTGAATTCTGTTGATTAAATTGAGATGTAGCCATTAGTCTGAGTGACTCGATATCGCATACTCGGATTATGAGAAAAATACTTAGTACTCTATATTGCTTATACATTTTAAATTATTTACTTCCTTACGTCTGTTACCCCTCATGTAGGAGCATAGTCAACCCACCATCATTCTATAGCCAAATCTCTCTCCTTTCCGCTTCTTTTCAAATGCTGTTCATCCTTTTCATGTCTGCTTCCAGTTCTCAACGAAGTGTGTCATTTCGTCTTCCTCTTTTTCGTTTCCATTCACGATTCTAAGTTAGTGCTTGCTTCGTGATGTAGTTTGATGATTTTCGTAATGTATGTCCTATTCACTTTCAACGTTATTTTCTAATTTCCTCTTCAACCGGAAGCTGGTTCGTCTTCTATAGTATGCTGTTGCTGATAGTATCCAATCAACGGACATTGAGTATCTTGTGTAGACAATTGTTTATAAATACTTTTAACTTTTTGATGATTGTCGTGAAAGTTGTACTATAAAGGAAATACTAACAGTGTTCATGTCTATTAAGTTTGTTTTCAATCTAAACTACTGAATTTTAAATAATATTATGACAAAACTGTACTAACCGAATTCTTCAAATTTTTCAAATATTATAAAAAAGTGGATTGTTAGAGAAGTGATAAGCAAGAGCATGATAATTGGATAAATTTAGAAAGTATGCTTCATCTTTTCGTAATGTCTTTCTTTATCTATTTCCGTTTAATACTGACTTACGTAGGGGTACATCAAAAAAACTTCAGGGGTAGTTATGAACTGACATGCTATCAGTCCGTGAATTCCCCAATTATTGTTTTTCGGCATGTTAGTAGATGTATACATCATAGTTGAAATACTCATAAGTAATGACCTTAAAGTTTCCTTCATCACCCAGACACATTCAAATATTTGTTTATCTTTACTGAAATAATGAACATAGAATTTTCACATACTTCTCATTTTTCGTATCTTTTTTCTGTGAACCATATTTCTCACGCTTATTACTTCATATCTATTAATACCACCACACAGACCGACACCTATAGATGCTAAATCTTCTACTATTCATGACAAGTTGTCTCTTTTTTTAATATATAGCTATAGTATCATTGTGCCATTTTTTCTTATGCTTTCGGTATACGCGACAGAGCCACGAAATATAATTTGCTACGATGAATGATTTTTTATATTATATAATGATGACTGCTTTTGATCTTGTCCCAATAAATTCATTTTATTCATTTCATTAGAAATATCTTTAAATATTTACAGTTTGTCACAGAGAGATGTATTTTCTACATCTAACGGTGTTTTTAGGTGACTCTGTACTTCTTACCATGGATTGTCTAACATTAAGAAGAACGTAATTTTGCAAAACAAGCAAACATAAAATTATTTCTATTCAAAAGTCTTAACATAATGAAATCCAGTTGAATCCTTTAAGGAAGAGTTAAAAAAAGTATCACATGTTTGTAATTGAATTACATGGAACAGCAAAATCAAATATTGACGACGTGATTTGTGATAAATTATATCACTGTGTATGAGAAAAAAAGGGATTATTTGTGAGAATGATTTCAGATGATTTTGAGCTATGTAAGTAATTTGTGCAACAATGTAGTTTTAAAAATCGGTTCTGCAGATTAACGCTATTAACTCTATTGATCAGACAATTCGGTGAGACTATAATTTATGGACGACCTTTGAGCAACGTTAAAGTGGCCTTGAGAATGTCCACCTACTCACTAGGGCTAAATGAGAATTATAAACCCATATAAAGAATATAAATTATAATTTATAATTGATGGTTAGGGTTAGGAATTGGATTTAAAGTTTTCATCACTAACTGACATCAGTTAAAATTCCAAAACGCTCTTTTACCAAATGAATGCTAAAATCCATAACCTGTTATCCTAAACCTGATTGGTTCGTCTATAAATTATAATCTTGCCGACAATTTTACTACCTATACCATGGAAGTACAAACAAGATGTAGCCTAAAACTCACTAAAGCTTCTAACTTTATAATTGTTAAACAAATTTACAGCTTTAAAGTTTTTGGATAAACTTGACTGTCACACAATGACGAGATCACAACTATTGAAAATGAACAGTCGTGAAATTAATCAAACTAGTCAATATTTCTGTTTGACTGAATTAAGTGGAATCTGACATTCTAAATTATTGGTTAGATAAGTTTACTCTGAACAACCAGTAATTCCATCCGTTTATGAACTCATTTTCCTGTCATTTCTTAACATTGAATTAAGATTATGCAAATAAATATCGGAGATTCTTTATATTGACGATCTACCCTGTTTTAATTGACAATTTTAAATGCGCTTTGTTTCTATTCATATTGATAATCTTAGCGGATGACTTTCAATGACACAAATTAATCATAAATCGGTAATAAAAACGTGAAATAGTAAGAAATGTATCTTCACAGTTTTCATCTAATGAGTAAAAAAATGCATTAAATCCAAACTTAATTATGTTAATTAAAGTATTAAAAGTAAGTTTCATGTTGATACTTTTGATGTTTCAGCACGATATAGTTTAAGTCCAATCATTACAGATAGTCAAAAACAATGTAATATTTTAGGGTTTCTATTCAATGTCTACCGTTTGAAATTGATTTGATAGTGTAAAGAGAGTTATACTAATGAAATATTATTAATGAAATATTAAAGATTGTTTCATGTTCTCAAATTAAAGGAATTATAATTCACTAGGTAGTTATATTTTATATATTACAATATTCAGATTATAAATTCTACCCAGTCATTTTAACTTATATGATAACCTTTAACAACTTAATTCTTAATTATAAAAAGTACTGTTTGAAACGTTTTCACTTTTTTAGGAGTTATTTACAGAAGAAAAAATGAGGATTGAAAATTTGAAACCTTTCATCTTTTAAATTATCGCGATTTTACGCTTGTGATTCGCTGTATGAAAGCCGATGTAGTTTGACAATAACAATAGTATTGAATAAACCCAGTGTAATTATTACTATTAATATTACTACCATCATACTTTACTACCCTTATGTGAGAGCAAACTCAACAAACAAAAGAAACAACTTAGTGAAAAAATAAATTCAAAAGAATAGCATCATATCCTAATTTTTTAAAGAAACCTGACGCATAAATAAATTTACTCTACTATTACAAATTTTAAGTTATGCCTTTTCGGATCTTTAATTACCGATTATTTAATTACAAAAAATCTATTCAAGAGGTGTGCACCTTTCCAAGTGACTGTGATTAGTAGTCACTGACTAACTTATAAGACATGTGCCATGTTGTGATATTGCCTAAATGTAGGTTTGTTTGTTAGCCTTGTACTATATGGGGGACTAACTTATTTATCTATCTGGCCGACAACTGAACACTTTAAGTAGTCCATAGTTCTAATGAACAATTTTAAATATGCAAATATCAGGTAGTAAACAACTGAATAAATGGTTGATTTTAATCATTAAGTTATCCATTCTAATAGATTTTGTTGAAAAAAGAATAGACTTAAATCGTTGTAGCTTTAGTTGCTCTCGAGTTTCTTACTCAATATACATTAAAGCCCAATAGCCAAAATAATTTAAATTGTTAGATGCTTTTCTTCTATTATCATTTTCGAGATTTCTCATGTTTAGCTAAGTTATTATCATCAATACCTAGTATGTCGCTTACATGGGAAAATAACTTGTGCTGAGAAGAAATACTTAACTTATCTGTATAATGTTATCTCGCAATAAGTTAACTATCCAAATAATACTCTTTATTATATCAAAGTGATAACTCTTTTTCTGCCATTTACAGATAAACCTTGTTTAGAACCTACATGTATTAAAGTTGCTGCAGAAATTCTTGGCAATATGGATACAAGTGTATCACCTTGTGATGATTTCTTTGCATATTCCTGCAATGGGTGGATAAAACAGAATTATATACCACAAGGTCATAATTCTTGGTCTGTAATGCGTAAACTATCCAAATATGACGAACATTTTACCAAAGAATTACTTGGTAAGTAAAAGGTGTTCTAAATCTTTTTATTCAGGAAACTGTAAATGCAAGATTTTCAAGAGATTTATAATAGTTTGACTTAGTTTTTCTCTATATATGACCACTGCTGCAAACAAAACCGAAAACTCATTTTACTTGGATAAGTGCTTGGAGATAAGACAACATAGGCTGTATTTAATCATTTAGTTGTACTAAAAGTTATTTAATTAATGAGCTATGTGTACCAGCTAAGGACCAAAAAGTCAATTCAGAGCAATTCTGATGTCAGATTTCGTCTTGGGTTCAAATCAGTATTTTGTTAATTAAATGTTAGAACATATAGCATGTTGTTCTGCTTTCTAACATTCTTCATCATTAGTGATTTAGGTTTCAGCAGCTATTAATTGCATTCATCATACTTTCTTGAGTTCTATCGAGATATCGTTCCTACCATTTATTAGGTTTAATAATAAATAGAGTTTTGGAAGATCTATTTGTTGTGATAATAAAAAAACTTGATGTTATGTTTCCTATGTTTATTATCCATGTAATAATTATTCCTTTTAAATGTTTTATAGAAAATCGTTCGCATAAAGACACTAGTCGTGGTTTCACTTTGGCACAAATATACTACAATTCATGTATGAATGAATCTGTTATTGAAAGTCGAAGATTGACACCTCTTTATGATTATATAAAAAAAATATTTAATGGTTGGTTATTACTGCCGATTGGGAATCCAGCAGCCGGGGAACAAAATGCTAATCTTTTTCGTCCTGGCACATTTGATTTAACAGATATGTATTTACCTCTGTTAAAGTATTTAGGTGCAACACCATTATGCCGTATTCTAGTTGGACAAGATCAGATGAACTCCTCTCGATTTGTAATAGATGTAAGTAGAATTTCTATATGCTTTTATTGAGGCATGGATTAACTATTGTCTTTATGAATATTTGATTATTGCAACCAGTTCATTTTGGAACTCAGATAGAGCACCATAACTAAATTTGGTATCGCATACTGTATTCATTTTTGTTAAGCTATAGGAGTGAAAAATTGTAGCTAATATTTTCCTGATGAAACCTAAATTTTATCCAGCAGAAGGATCACTTTTAACTTCCTTAACTAACACTACGATATTTGATCATACTTTCACATTTATGCAACACAAAATATGGGACATCGCCTGAGCTATTGCTGTTATTCGATTTGATACTTTGTCATACTATCTGCTTTTACTTCTTTGGATCAGATGCAATTCGTAAAGATATATTGCTCAGCCACTCACTGTTTCAATATGATTTTAGCTAAGTAAATTGTGAAAAGTTTTCTCAGCCAAATTTCACAACAAAAAAAGAATTCTCTTCATAGAACGGCAAGATTGCATCTTGTTATCTCATTTGTTATCTGTAGATTTATTCAGTAGTTTACTGATAAACCAAAACCATTTTGTAAATTGAAACAAAATCGAATTACTAGATTTTTCAATAGTCTAATGTTCAATATAAAGAACAATATAAATATCTGAAGTATTAAGTAAGAAGTAAAAACATTCGAAATCTATCATGATAGAACTATGAAGAAGCAGAATAAGTTTTTTCTTAAAAAAGCTTTAATGACGATTTATGGGAAACCAATTTATTTGCTATAATGTTTGGTACTTACATCAAACATCATTGAAACTAGTTTGTGAATACTTCTCAAAGAATGTTATTATTCTAGTCGTGAGACCGAAATATAATGGGCATATTTTTTGTGTGATATCATGAGATTGTATTGCTATATGTTTTGAAACGAGGACGAAACAGTTGTTAAGTATCCTCCAGCTTACCATTGTTCCTCTGTTAACATAAATCCAAAATAACAATAGATTACGTCATACTTTCATATCTTATCAAAAAACATTTAGCATACTATATAGTTAGTTTGACAATATACAAAAGAAATATTTGGCAACAAATCAAAACTTCTAAAGTAATTACTTATTATAATTTATAAACTTTGAAATGTTCAACAAACGTTTTCTAACCATATCATGATTCAAATTAGATAATTTGTCAATTGTTTTTTTTAGCTTGTAGAAGGATATCTTAGTTTGCAAAGAGAATATTATGTAAACGATTCGTATCCAGCTTATTCAAAAGTGAGTTTGTGTTTTCTAATTACTTTACAACAGTATAAATAAATATGTCAGAAGGGGTCTTGTGGAGATTTCTTAGAAATTTCACTAGTTCAAATCATGAGTCAATTGAAGTTAGACCACCATGGAAAATCTGGAAGCGCTGGACGGCTGTTTCATCTTAGTATGGGACTTCTCAGTAGTGAGCATCCAAAATTATACCCTCCCACCTCGAGATTCGAACCCAGTACCTACCAGTTTCTTGGGGGTGGGATAGTGGATGCACACTGCTGAAAGGTCTTATACTAGGGTGAAACGGCCATCCAGTGCTTCCAGGTTTTCCATGGCGGTCTAGCTTCAATCGACTCATGATGAAATAAATATGTGTCCAGTATTTATAAAGTAGCTAATTTATATTTCAGTTTATAGAACACTTTATTGATGTGGATTTAAAATTTTACATAACTTTAACATATGTGTAGTCTTGCTGAAGAATGTATTTTTGTATAGTGATACTTAGAATTGTTCTTTCATATGTTGTATTATATACAATCACATAGATTATTCGAATTCTTTAGAATAGTGTGAGATAATTCATCTTATACTTGAGAAAATATTTCTTACAATTCATTTTGATAGGACAGTTAACCTGTTCACTTTTATACACTGTAGCATAAAAATTCATTATCAATGTGTCATTTTGATATATTGTTGTGAGTAAATATATGATCTATCTGATAGATATGGAAATCAAGTTGTTAAGGTCATTGGGTATGGCATATTATTAATCTCTTAGAGGTTTTATGAAATATTCAGCTCCGTTTAGGCACATATGTCATGTTCAAGAATGCAACCCTTTTAAAATGGATTAAGGGTTTTAGTGCCAGAAGGATTTTTATAAGGATACAACTACAGTCAATATTTCTTATTGGTTAAAATTTTTGAAAGTATACTAACCCTTGTTTTTTTAAACGTCGACTTGATGGTTAGGGGACTAACTTTGAAAAGCTACTGGGAAAACCGTTTGTAAATACGGTTCTACCAAAGTTTGGAATGACAAAGTAGCTGAATAATCTGACTTCTGAGAAGTTCTAAAGACAATTCGGACAAAAGGAGTAGAGTTAGAAAAGGAATATTTCCATGGAAATTCATCAGCCAAACTGAGAGAACATTCTCCAGATGAATATAATTTTTTTCTGTGATACACTGCTTCTATATAAATGATGTATTCTATCTACCGAACACGGAGAGAATTAGGCATATGTGGCAAAATAACCATTAGTGCTGGACTTAATTATTGAAATAGAAATCTCCAATTATGTTCAAAAGTACTCTAGTAGTGAAGATTAAATAAACGTGTTAAAAAACAGGAAGAGATTTTTAATATATTATACAGATAAACAAAGCGGGTTGCAATGTTACGAAATATTTATCATTTAGTTCAAACATCGTATCAATGTACACTACACATTAGTACTATTGTCATGAAGTTTCGTGATATTCAAGATATAAACAGTATTAAATCTATGAAATTTAACATTGACTCTTTTGTATACATTATGTTCCTTTAGAAAACTGAAGCATTTCGTCGATTTATGAGGAATTATTCCCTCTTGTTAGGAGTACCAAACTCGTCGTTACATGAAGTAGATAAAATTTATGAATTCGAAAAACAGATTGCTTTGGTAAGTGTTTTTAAGTTATTTATTGTTTTACTTTTATTAAGAATATTTTTTGGTTGTTGCTTATTTTTTCCAGTGATTACAAATCGATTAAATTCTATTCGTCATGTGGTTAATATTGTTGTCTACAGTAATAACTAAAGTCTTTCATTTAAGAGTAACATTCAGAACTTGAATGCTAAGGCTGAACATTTTTCGGCAATATTTGCTTTTGAAGTAACCATGAGAATTTTCTACATCAGTTTCATGTTTAGTAGAATATACATTGGAAGATTATCTGAAAATGTAAGGGGGCATAAAATATTTCGGAATGCAGACATACGTTTCAACTACATATGTTTCCAGTTAGTTTTACTGAAAAAAACACCTAATGTCTTATCGTATATGTTCTAGATAAGACATAATACTCCCTTTATATTTCTCTTTGAGTTCATCCATTTCAATTTCCCTACATCTTATTTCGTAAGATTATTACCTTGATGGGAATATTTCAAGCTGGACCACTTGAATCATATAGATGAAAACACTCAGATGTGTTTTCCAATATGTCAAATATCTATCTTAAAGGATGATTAAATGGATTTGATTTCAGCTTGATTTCAAGCTTTCTATTAACTGTTCGTTTGTAAAGATCAGCTTGATTGTACGACAATTCTTGTAATACATTGATAATAATTTATATTAAGTTTTCGAACTATCTAAAGGGGATTAAATTTTCTAAGCAAGATTTCTTTATCCATAGTACATCAGAAGTTTGAATTTTTATTTATGATGTTATTTGTCTAGATATTTTCTTTAATCCATGTTGTTGCACCGTTGATTGAGTTTTGACGGAATAATGAAATTATCAACTTTGTGTCGTCCTAAATGACATTCTGTTTGTGTTGAACAGTTGATGAAAAGAGATCATACATTCTCTATCACTTTCAGCACAAACCTTGTGTTTACTAATTAACTTTATTACTGAAGTTTTCTTCATTATATCGAATACATAATCTTTTCGAAACGATTAAAATAAACAAGAAACAAATAACTAACTCCTGCCACCTTTTTCGAAGTGTTCAGCTATGATTTAGATTTTTTCAATCAATGTAAATCAAAACGCTCTGCTTGCTAATCTGCATTTAGTTTATAGAATTTTCAGTGATACTATTCAACAATTAAGCCAGATAAGCTCACTACATCAAATAATGAACAGGGACTTTTGTTAATATTGTGCTGAAGCCATAGAAAACTACTGTCCTACATAAAAAATGACTAGGTATATCTTCTTAGTATTTCGTAAATTTACATTACAAATAATTGTGTTTCCTCATTTACTTATCTTAACAGAGAACTGAAGACCGTAGTGAAAGAGACCCGGAGAAAAACTACGAACTTGTTACTCTACAAAATTTATCTTCTATTTGTCCTGTGGTCAGTTTTAATTATATATGATTTAATCCATATTATACTTAGTTTATGTAAACAATAAAGATACTGGAATGAAATCTAATTCTGTAATCTAATTTATACAGGGTGAAAAAATGGTCTTTTCTTTACGGCTGTTCATTGAAATGTAGCTATAAATTAGATATCTTACATGTTTGTTGTCATGATCTTCCTGAAAGTAATTATTTTAGATTCGAGCATTTTGGTAATGTACTGATTATTGTCGAGACTAAAATTTGTGGACGATCCAAGCGGGTATAAGATAACAGGTCCCGGATTTTAGCGTGAAATTCATTCATCCAGTAGGCTAAATGGAGTTTTGACATAATAGCTGATGTCAGTTCGTGATGAAAACTCTAAATCTAATTCCTAACCTTGATCATCAACTGCAAATCATTATTTTATTTCCTTCCATTGGCTTATAACCCTCATTTGGTCATGATTATTAGGTGGACAATCTAAAGGTCTCTTCAGCATTGTCCAAAAGTCGTCTTTAGTTGAAGAGAAGTTATTATTACTTAGACAACATCTTCTATTTGATACAGATTATGCTGCTGGACATGGCAAGTATATAAGCGCTTGCAGTAAATTTCTTTCATCAATATCTCATCCAGATTAAGAGAATGAAAACAATGATGACTATTTATCACCTAAATTGTTTGTTTATCAAAAATGTTATTTACCATAGATTTTTTATGGATAAAAACTTGTTAAGAAAATATTTAGTTAAAGTAGTAGCTATTTTATAGTAATCTATCTAAAGAAGTTTAATTTTCATTTATTTAATTAGTATCCTAAAATTTCCCAGACAATTGAGCGTAGTGAAAATACTTCGATTAAAGAATTTTCAAAGATAACATGTAGATATACATGAGTCCATGGAAAACTATAATAAGAAAACTTTGCTATTCAACACATAGATTTAGAATTTCCTAAAATTACTCAAATTAATTTACCTTTATCATAGTATCTCACTCATTGCGAATGATGGTTATACGATTTGTCTTCAAATTTCTTTACACTTTCATTTATTATTCAATAGCTTAATTGGACGAAATTATTTGACTATATATATGCACCACTAAACTTCAAGCTTTCTCAAGATCAAGTGATCGCATTACATGATCGAACATTCTTCAGAGAACGATGTGCTTTATACGAAGAATATTTGAAAACAGAGGCCGGTATTAGGTAAGTTTTACATAGATATTATTAAAATAGGAAAGAAAAATTTGTTATCCATTGGTTGTGATTGGGATTAGTTAATTTTATAGCTTAATTAAACATTTTGAAGAAATTTATTGTTGATGATTTAATTTAAGCTTACCTACTTATGCCTGTTACTCCTCGTGAAAGAGCATAGGCCGCTCACCAGCATTCTCCATCCAATCCTGTCCTGGGCAATCCTTTCCAGCTCTTTCCAGTTTTCATTCATCTTTTTCATATCTGATTCTATTTCCCGACATAATGTGTTTTATGGCCTTCCTCTTTTCTGCTTCCCTTCAGGATTGCTGTGAGGGCTTGCCTCGTAATGCAGTTTGATGATTTCCTCAATGTATGTCCTATCAATTTCCATCGTCTTTTCCTAGTTTCAGCTGAAGGTGGTTTGTTCTCTCTCACAAATTTAAGCAAACTATGTGTAATTTGATGAATTGGCTAATTTCAATGAAATACATAAGATTTATCAAATAAGTATGTAAACTAGGTTATTAGTACTACTAAAAATCGACCGATTACGTTGAATCAGTTTATCCCTAATGATTCATTTTTAGTAGTCGAGATCATGAGTCAATTGAAGCTAGACCATCATGAAAAATCTGGAAGAACAGGACAACCGTTTCGTCCTATTATGGGACATTATTCAATGATATTTCTAATTTTCTCAGTCTATTTGTTACATACACGGAATAAAGTCAATTAAATAATATTTTAAAAACTTAAGTGCAATTCAACCACCATACTAAATCACCCTGCCTATTCATTTGATGTAGCTTCTTCTAGTTTAATTTGCTCCTGAAAAGTAAAATGATTATGTGGGTGTTGAATCAGGATGATATGATGATAAATGTGAGACCATAAAACAACAGAAAAATATAGCCCCTTACGATTTTCAACATTTTAACTCAGGATAAGAAATGTTTTAAAAGAGGTGAGAAGAGCATCCTTTAAAGTTTGAAAGTAATTTTTCTATGACTTCATCTGATGTCAAAATTTTATCAGAAGTTTGGTTAATAAGTTTTATTTTTTGAGTAAGCATATTGTTCATCACAGTAATTATGATATGATCATTCGTGATAGTAAAACTAAGTTTTTACAGTCAAACAAGTACTGATTGGTAATTATAGACACTTAACCAAACATAATATAAACAATTGGAAACCTAGTCTTTATGAAATGAATAATTATGATTAATATATATTCCACTTTAATTGTTATTTAGAACTTTACACAATACTGCTGTATGGAATTTTATGTGGAGAACAGTCCCACGCATGCCAAAAGAAGTTAATGAAATGTTGGAAGAATACAGAGAAGCAGAACTAGGTAGATAACGATGATATTTTGTTTTATTTAAAAAGTAATCAAAAATCTATTGCCAGTATTGATTATTGTTTAATTTTTTTCAAACATGAGGCAATTTTCAATAATTGTCATACTTTCACACTGAATAAATTATGTAGCACATTTGCTTTCGACTTTAAAATGAATTCATGTAGGATTTGAAAACATAAAATGTCCGAAAAAAAAAGGAGAACGACCACATTTTATGTTTGTATAGGTAACGTCACAGGGGAATGAGGACAGTGGTCTTTTTAGAGGAAAGCGTTGGTTAATTTTGTCCTACATTTTTTGACATTTAGTGATAACGCTTAATTTTTAGTCGATAAATTACATGTTTAGTTTCCATTACAAATCAGAAAATACTTAAGGCCTTTATATAAATGGGTCCCGGACACGTTTACACCAGTCTGTCTTTAGTCGTTTAGTTGCACGAAATTCAATTCGATTTGTGATCTTCAAAGTCAGAAATATCGACTTCATGTCTACTAGTTCACTTAAAGGTGCATATGTGGAGAATGTCAGATTTGGTGGTAATTTTCAGGAAGCATGATCAGAAAATTCAATAGAAATCCTATACATAACAAAACTTCTCAAATTGTAATTTAAAGCATCACATGTAAGTAAATAACGTTGTTTTCGCTGAAACCATGAACAGATCCAAGTTAGACAACCATTCTAAGCGTTGAAGAGCTGACGATCGTTACGTCCTAGTATGGAGTTGCACAAGGCTGTGTATTCATAAGCCTGCAGCCTGGAATCTGATGCAAAACCTTTAGCCTCGAACATGAATATATATCATGAATAGTTGTAGTAGTTACCTATTTAAAGTTCAGTTCTTCAAAGGAATTAATCAATGATTTCTCTGCCTCCACATCTGCATACTGACTATTGCTAAGATTAGTAGTTTAGTAGTGTTGTTCAATTTTGATTTTATTCCGTTCACATAATTTTTTAGTTAATTCAAACCAGCAACCCTCTTTTGTCTAACATACGGTGAGCATCTTATCCTTTCTACTATCCACACACTTATAATTACGTAAATTTTAATCATGATTATTTTAATAGCCTTATTTTTCTAGCTTTGACCTACTTCCTTTATCAGTATATTTGTTTTCATACTATTTGTTATTCTTATATTTACTACTGTGTCTGTTACATACTTACAATACATACATACATACAATAAAAAGTTGTGCAATATTTTTTTCATTTTTATGACTGACTCATAAATAGTCTTGATTAGTTTTGTATTTATAGCATGTGCATTTAAATATTACTGTAAATTTGAATAAAGTCTGATTAATACCTCATTTTGTTGAAAACATGACCCCATTTAAGTTAGACAACCACTGAAAACCTGGGAACACTGGACGATGGTTTCGTGCTGGTGTAGCACTCCTCATCAGCGTACATCCACGATCCCTATGAGAGTAACCGAACCCATGACCATCGATATCACTCAGGAATGCTCCACTTCTAAACTACTAGGCTGGCATCAAACGGTGTTAACAGTTAACCTCAACAATATCCACAATCCCATACTTACAGTTGTCATGCGCTCACTGGTGACTTGCATAGCGGGTAAATTTTCGTATTTCTCATAGGAAGCTGTGACAAGTAGGACTAAACCGTGTCGGAAATGATGCAGTTACCCAACGAAGACAATGGAAAATGCTAGCGGTTTTGGTCGCCTAGAGCTTTCATGATTTCAATGGTGATCTTACTTAAATTAGTTCATGATTTCATTGAAATTCAACTACCTCTGCAGCTCCATACTAAGAATAATATTCCATTGAAAAAATTTTGTCGACTTTAGAAAGATAGTGTGATTATAATTCACATAAGGATCGCAGATGACCTAGCCCGGCTATCCCATACACACGAACAAATGTAGTTCAACACATTCAGTGTAGAAGGAGCCTCTACATCAGTAAGCTTCAATATGCATTAGGGAAAAACCAAGATCTTGAAATACAACATGGAGGATACCAACTCAATCATACTTGATGGAGAAACTCTGGAAGAGTTTGAAACTTCCACGTACCTGGACAGCATCATCAAGGAACGAGGAGGGTCCGATGCAAATGTTAAGGCAAGGACTGATAGAGTACGGACAGCTGTTGGGGTATTCAGAAAATACCCCAGAAATTATCTAATGCTATTCCTGAATGAGAAATGGTGTCATTTCCCCATTGGTCAATAATTCTTCCAACGTGTCACTTCCCCATTGGTCAACATTCTTCCAACGTGTCATTTCCCTATTGGTCAATGTTTATGGTAGTCCTAACTGTATAAATATGCATGTGTCTGTAGATTATTATTCTTTTCTCCGGCCCCATAAACAATTTTCGTCTAACGGTTGTGTTCTGATATATTTGGAGATTTAGGGAACGGTATTGGGGTCGTACTAGGACATCTGCAGTTGGTCCATCGATAGAACTAGAGTAGTCACCTCGCGAACCAGAACAACAGCATTCCTGCAGTTGAAGAACACATGAAACTCAAAACAACAGTCTGTAAGCTGACATCAAAGTGAGAATCTTCAACACAAACTTCAAGACAGTTCTACTGTACGGAGCTGAAACTTGAAGAACTACTACAATCATCGTCAAAAATGCACAAGTATCTATAAACAGTCGTCTACACAAGATACTCAATGTCCGTTGATTGGATACTATCAGCAACAGCATACTATAGAAGACGAACCAGCTTCCGGTTGAAGAGGAAATTAGAAAATGACGTTGAAAGTGAATAGGACATACATTACGAAAATCATCAAACTACATCACGAAGCAAGCACTAACTTAGAATCGTGAATGGAAACGAAAAAGAGGAAGACCAAATGACACACTTCGTTGAGAACTGGAAGCAGACATGAAAAGGATGAACAGCATTTGGAAAGAAGCGGAAAGGAGAGAGATTTGGCTATAGAATGCTGGTGGGTGGCTTGTTCTCCATGAGGGGTAACAGATGTAAATAAGCAAGTATATCAGAAATTTATTTAAAGACGTTTTAATAATATCGTTTGATACAAATCTCCCTCAACCAAGTGTTCTGGAGCTTGTTTTTACTTTCTTGGACAAAGTCTAAAAACGTGTGACACAATAAATTATCGCAAATAGTGTCAGTCAGCTCTCAAGAAACACTTATTTCTGATTTTCTCTTGACTCGTACCTGAATGAATGCTTGGTTCTCTATTATTTGAACCTAATATGGCAGAAAAGATTTTTCAACTTGTTTAAAAATTTAATTTGTCTGTTTTTTCTATGAATGTTCATAATTTTGAATGGATTGTCATTGTAATAACGGATAAATTTACAGATCCTAGTTCTTTAAACATTATTTTCATACACTTCAAATGATAACGGTTCAAACAAAATTTCTTTCATTTATCAGTAAATCGTAAATTCCAACAGCAGAATAACATATTTTAAACTGTTTTATATCTGCCTTCAGGATTGAAAGTTGATCCAGATCGCTGGCAGATATGCGTTAACGAAGTACAAGGTCCATTCGGAATGGTGATTGGTAGACATTTTGTCCACGAAAGGTTTAATCAGAAAAGTAAAGAAGCGGTAAGTTAATTACAACATAAATTTTCTGTGTTATTAGTTATCATTAGTTGTAATGTAGTTATTTAATTAGTAACCAGATTCAAAATGTTTGTATTGTTGAATGATATTAATCATTATCAGTAAGTTAAAGGTGCATACACGATAAGTTATGATGTTTTGGTGGTCTAGCTTTAATTGACTCATAAACTTAACTATTCAATTACTACAATCTCCACAAAAACCCATTCTGATATTAATCAACATATACTCACTAGTGACTGGCTTCAAGAGGTATATACTAGAGTTCTAGTGAGAAGCAGTGACCACTTGAGTTCAGTCGGGTCAGTTATGAGATAGTAACTCACTGATGACAATGGTGGATGTGTCGCTCAATTTTGTGGATTAGTTGAAGTTAGACATTGACACCGTTGGATGCGAGGTGGCTCAGTAGTCTAGTTGGTTATGTGCCCGACGCGAGAGTGATAGGTCCCGGGCTCGAATCCCGCCGGGGCTGGATCGTGGATGCGCATTACTGAGTCGTCTCACAATAGGACAAAACGGCCGTCCAGTGCTCCCGGGTTTTCCATGGTAGTCTAGCTTTTATTGACTCTTGAAGTCAATATGAGACTGTTTTAAAACTTGTTAATCTAGAATTGTTGTTAAAATGATCATATCACAATAATCTGTGGATAATAAATTTATAGCTTTTGTCTCAGTGTTGACTCCTTCTTCGGGTTAAGATGTTTGTATTTTTATCTGGTAAGTAATTAATGTCTTTTCAAGTTTGTTACTCTGAGTAAATAACTTGATAGCTCTTAAAATTTTAGATTCCTTGTCTTGAAAGTTAGCACCAAACTTAATTCAACGATCTATGAACTGGAATGATAGTCTGAACAAAGTCTGTTTAGGACTGAAAGCAAGAGCACTATTTTAGTTACATTATGATAGTTATACTATAGTTGGTGAATCTGAACTTTTGTTCTCTACTAATAATATGCTCTCTATATCAGCAATGAAATTTATTGTCATTATTTACTTTTAAAATTTAGGCTACAGAAATGATAACTGAAATTAAGACAGCATTTAAAGAGAATTTCGCTAGTGTTGAATGGATGCAAGAAGCTGATAAGCTTAAAGCAATTGAAAAGGTATGGTAAAAATTAATTTCAGTAAAATTTATTTAGATATTTTTCCAAAATTCAACTATCAGGTGGATTCAATGAAAGCTTCAGTTGGTTATCCACAAAATATTGATAATATAACAGACGAAAATAAGGCGTTTTCATATTTTGTAAGTTATGTATGAGTATATTTTTGTCATTCACTAGATTGCTTCTATAGACTTACATTTTTATCATTAATATCCTTGTACTTCATTAAAATGTATGTAAATTAACATCCTTTTTATTGGCAAAATAAGTCGAGTTATAACCATAATATCTTGGTTAATCTCTTGCAATATTAATCCTTTAACACAAATACTTCAATATCTTTGTTAATTTAGTTCCCATAAAGCATTAATATTGTCCTGACTGAATTTGATATCAATATTCAGTATATTGGGGGTAGTTTGATAAATTATCCTAGTTTCAAATAGATGAGACTTACTGAATAAATCAGTGATCTTTAAATTGGTAGCTTATATATTTTATTACCATTTTACTCAATTCGATTCAAGCGATTACGTAATATCATCAAACTTTACACTAAGAGTGTTGTTCAAAGCCAAATACATAAATGTTTACTTGATAAATGAGGTAATATACAAAAATTATTTTAACAGTTTCAGATTGTCATCATATAGTTTCTATGATTATAAATTTCTGTAAGGTTTTACATCCTTTTATTTTCAAAAAGAAATAGTACAAATGGATCTCTGATGAGATTATTCTTTTATCTTAATACCGGGGTTCTTATATGGTTCAATTTTGGGATTCCTAATTTAAAAAATAATATAAATTGTTAAATAATTTTCAGATAATCAGTATAGCAGTTTCATGCTGAAATCAATTTATTAAAACTGATTGTCACAGAATAATTATTCTGTCATGTCATTGAAACTTTAATCATATCTTTGAAATTCCTTTTTATTTAAACTACACGTTAAATAATATTCTTTATTTATTAAATTGTAACCAAATAAATATGCTTGCCAATTAATCTGAAACTTTTACTCAGTGTATAAACAAATGAGAATTTATTTAGGTACTGAAAACATATAGTGTGGTTGAGACTAACATTAACAACAATCAAATCATAAAACTACTCTTTAAAGTTTATTTGATAATTTACTAACTACTGATATATATTATTTATAAAAAGGAAAAGATACAGTAAATTTTGCCCAAATATTGCTTTGAGGTACTTCTATATTTAGTACGTACTATTCTTAATGTAACTTTAATTAGATTGTTTAAATGATGCATTTTTATTTTAAAGAAATAATGTTTTCTTTTTTTCATTATTCGAAACTATCTAAGAATTTAAGGGTCTTTATTAGTTTTATTAGTAACTCAATAAGCTCAGGTTATTGCACTCAGATAGTTGTACTACTAGATTGTCAATACGGAAGTGGATGGAGAGTGATTTAAAACTATGACTAAATAGTATGTAACTGAATACGTGAACTAGGTTGAGAGTTTGTTTTCATCAAACATATACCATTTGGATTGTTTGAAACTAATACAGTTCAGCTTTAATATCGAATGTCAATGTAGATGTCCAGTGTCAGTGTCCAATTGAATGGTAATTTTTAAATTGCCATTGTTGCCACAAAATCATTTCTCAATAAACACTTTGTGTCCATAAAAGATTGGTGGAGGCACTCCGTGTATCATGATATTATAAAGTTCTGTCCAAGTCAATATATGAATCAACCAATCTCTTTTGAGCGAGAAAGTCATCAGGAGACATTACTTCGTGAATCTAATCATGAAAATTCTTACAAATATATACGAAGAGTATAAAGTTAACAGTGAAAAGTTTTTCTTTGGTTATGAACAATTGACGCCATTAATTTTGAATAGAATTGAAGAATACTATAATCTAATAGATGGTGTTAGCGAAAATTCACTATAGATTTAGCGATAACATATAGGGTCGGAATGCACTGAATTAAGTAAGATAAAAATAATTTTTGTAGTTAATCTTATAATTAAGTTCTTTTATAAGACAAACTTTAATCATTTACTATACATTTTTTTAAAGTTAGAATTACACCTAAGAATGATTACCTTGACTTATTCAGTTAAAAAACCTTTTTAGTTTACTGGATATGAAAATTATTCTGTTTCTGTTTCCCAGGTTGATTTGAATGAATCAACTTATTTTGAAAATGCATTATATTGTTCTGAAGCATTGTTTCTTGATATTCTACGAGAACTGATAATCCAGGACCCAGATAGGTGAGTAAGACTTTATTCGTCTTTTTTTTTTGTCAAACATAGGTATTAGTTATTCCAATTTAACTGTAATGATAATGGTATGCAATTGTGTTTAATTACACAATCAGTCAGTATTAGGGTCTATTTTATACACTAAACATACGTAATTTCATTTTACTGATATATCTAACCAACACTCAGGTTGGTAATGATAACGTAGTGATAAAAGTACTTGACTTTTAAACATCAAGTTAGAGATTCTAATCCATATTAACCTACCTCAGTTTGAATAATTGATTAGTAGTTCACGCACAAGTAATGTAGACCGAAAAACAAGCAAGACATTTTGAAAATACTATTATCAAGTTTTAGGTTGATATTTTCACCTAATCTGAGTATTTGAGAGATTGTTAATAATAAGATAACGATATATTTGTTATATCCCAATGTATTTAGTTTCTAATTTATCGTTTTAGTAAAGAACATCTACTAGGACTACGTCAGTTATTTTCTTGTTCCATTATCATAGATCCGTCGTTTCAATAGAACTGAATTAATTCGTTTTAGGTGAAAGATAGCGTCCTAATCTCTAGTATACCATTTTCATAATAGATCTGAACATTCTATGTCTTAAACACAGTAAGAAGTTCTACTCTGGTTTTCAGTAAAAATGCCTGTTTGAATTAGTTTATTTCACTTTGCAAACTTTAATAAATGCCATGAGCAATAAAAAAACGTGACTTTGACAAAAGAATTCTCTGAAGAATACAGTTAATCATAAAACTGAGAAATATGATAAAATCTGTACAATTTTATAGCCGTATTGTGAATAGATTATATAAAAATAAACATCAAATAATGAGATGAAACACACTCATCTCATAAAAGTGATCTAATCTTTTCATTAATCTAGTGATAAATACTTTCTAGAAGAAAATAATCACATTGAGAAAGAAATATATGAGTTAATTTGAAAAACACTTAAATGCAAACAAATATAGCTAACGTTTAATATACCGCACCAGTTTACATTGTGCATAGTATTCATTATTATTAGTTATGGTTTATGGATTAATGAGGGTTATATAAGGAATATTTAATGTTATAGTAGTCAATAACGTACTAATCTCATTTGGTATTAGGCTACATTTGTGCCTCGATATTTTCTAAACTTGAAGTACGGTTATAAATACGTAAGTGAATGTCTAAATAGATATTTTCGTCGAAAAACAGGTTATTCATTCACTATCATACACTTTTACTATAAATCCTCATTTAGTAAATGATAACTAAGGTTTAAAGGTCTAGTATAATCTTAGAAAATTCTATGGATTAATTCATCGTATATTTTATTCTTATCAAAGAATAATGCTGATTGTTATAAAGTGACTTGAAATCACTAACTCAACCAATCTGAATATCTATCATTGATTCACACAAATTTGTTTTATATGCGTTGACATAATCTCATAGATTTGAACTGTTTGACATCGACTTTAGTTTAAACAACAAAGCAGTCATGTTAGCTTTTACACAATCTAGAATTAAACTAATCATGCTAAACGAAAATCTATTCATGGTTGTATTCGAATTCAAAACAAACAACAACAAGAAAAAAGAAAATTTCAACAGTTAAGATCATGAGTCAATTGAAGCTAGACCACAATGGAGAACCTGGAAGCATTGGACGGTCATTTCGTCCTATTGTGGTACACCTTAGCAGTGCGCATCCACGGAATTCCAAGCCAGGACCTATCGCTCTCGCGTCGGGCACATAACCAACTAGACCACTAGGCCACATGGCATCCAACGGTGTCAATGTCTAACTTCAACTAATCCACTAAATTGAGCGACACATCCACCATTGTCATCAGTGAGTTACTATCTCATAACTGACCCGACTGAACTCAAGTGGTCACTGCTTCTCACTAGAACTCTAGTATATACCTCTTGAAGCCAGTCACTAGTGAGTATATGTTGATTAATATCAGAATGGGTTTTTGTGGAGATTGTAGCAATCGAATAGTTAAATTTATGAGTCAACTAAAGCTAGACCAAAGAAAGACTGTAAAATTCTCCTTGAAAAATGAACATGTTTTGTAATTAAATATAAAAATGTACATTGGACGATTTCTTTCTCAAAATAACAGATCACTATTCTACTTTAAAAAAATTTTTCAAATAAACTAACTTGATTCATGAATATTAAATACCATGGCAATTAGTTTAGTTTTATTTAAATTCAGTAATTTAATGAAATGATAAATGAAATTTTCTTATTACCAATGTAAATTATTTAAGTATACTGGCATAGAAATTTCATGTTGCAACATTTAACAAAATGAACTATGAATGTAAACTGATGAATTCTTTTTAAAGAAATAGTTTCATTCTGTTTTGTCCGACTTGTAATCTCTCAATCGATAGAATTTACAGTAACAAAAGTTTAAATCTTTGAAATACTGAAAGTGATTTTAAGAATTAAATAATGAAAATTTAGTAAAGTACCGAAAATTTAGACCGATAAAACATGTTCAATCAGTTAGAATGATCTTTTCTTAATATTACTATTCTCGTTAATAATCAAATAATGTATCTATCTTTTTGAAAGCCAGATCATTATTAGTTAGGCTATTAAAGTATAAGTTTTTATTTCATGTTATCTGTTCATTTCTATAACGTCTATGCATTTGTTATTGAGCCATGCTGTTTATGTGAGAGCTACTAATACTACGGATCTGTGATTCAGATACTGTTTGAAAGCTAAAAGCAGTTCACTAACTGTAGGATACCTGCAGTTATTTTTATAGGATAACATTTCTGGTCGTTGATATTCAACCTTTGATTTACCAATCTTTATCGGTATACTGAACTAAGTTCACTAAGTCGATTCAACCAATAACTCATATCATTCAACCACTTGAACGTCAGTTCAAGTTCCATCCTACCTTTTTCTGTTTAGGTATCTAAGTAGTATCACTAGATCGCATACATAAACTGTGATTGAAAATCGAGTGCAATATCCAAAATGGACTTAATCTAAGCAGTACGTAGTCACTAGCCTGTAAAATTAATTCGTTAACAGAGATGGATTAATCTAATCCTCTCTATCAATGAAAAATATAAAATTTTACAAATATAAGGAACTGTTTACGTTTATGAATATGACAAAATAGTTAATCCTAGATTGACTTTATTAAAATACATATTTACGCTAAATCTCAAGTATCAACATGTTTTAATCTATAGGCTAATTTTGCGAATGACTTTATGTCATGATTGTACATAGTCATTGCAACAGCATAAACAGCAATAAAGATTAAAACTCTGAAAATATGATGGCTATAAATATTTCAGTTGTATATTGTTGAATATATTTGGGTTTTCGGTAATAACTGTGACATTTAAATCTTTATGACAATCTTATTTAACTGAATTACATGTATATTAAGCTGACAAGTTCCAAATAAAATGAAAACAGGTATAACACAAGTTGTTCTTCTTTAACTTGTTTATGTATATAAATCTTTACAGATGGTCTTTACCAGTTCATATTGTAAATGCATATTATAAAGAAAATTCAAATCACATATTTTTTCCTGCTGGTATACTTCAAAGTCCATTATATCATCATGAACAACCGTTATCATTAAATTTTGGTGGAATTGGTATGGTTGTTGGACATGAAATAACTCATGCTTTTGATCAACATGGTAAGAGTATAACAATGATATATCATATTTCTTATTCATTTGTTAAAAGCAGTTAATATAAATAATATTCTGTTATGAAGTGTGTGAATGACATGATTAGTAATGATGTAAAGATATTTATGTGAAATTTAGTGCTTTAATAGATGCAAAAAGGTAAACACATAAAGAAATGTTATTTTGAAATAGTCGAATCCATTTACGCCAACATTGTAATGTTGGCTCTAGGAGAGGCTATTTTTAATTGTCTACAGAACATGTATATATTTCAATCTGAAAATGGGTATTGCTAATAAGTTCATATAATAAGTAAATTTATATTTTAATATTGTTGTACAGTCTGGTTACAGAGACATTTTAGTGATTATCTGCCTAAACAGAACCGAAATAGAGAGTTTCGAACTTGAGTTTGAAACATGAATTAGCATCCAAAAGGTGAAATTTTCAAGTTCATTCAGTCTGTATGATTGTCCATCTGTCATCAATCGCATTGGTCTAGCTCTCATCAAGTTAGAACTATGCTAATCATGATTCTTAAATTGTACCCTGGAAACGCTTTTTGTTGTCAGTCACCACTGAGCAGGATGAGATGGTTGTAAAGATCGTTCAATTCGCTGTCCTACTTAAATTAAGGTGTTTAAACCTGGAAAAATTTTGATGTGAACTACTTTCAAAAAATAAATGTGATCACATGTTTTTAGTGCTTAATTAACTTGTTTAGTTAAACATCGAAAATTGCTTCTTTAAGTAGATAAAAAAGGCTATTATTCAATAAAATAATAGAAATGTCTTCATAAACCATTGTATAGTAATTCGTCATGAATAGATTTACTGATATCATTAACATATTGGTAAAATATTTGAGAAACATATTTGTTTAAAACGAATTGGCTAGAATTCTATTCAAATATTCAAATCTCTTATTAAACTCTTGATTCCTTAACAAGTTACCTTTTAAAAGCTAAAGATTAGTTATCCGACGAGTCCCAAATAGGACGAAACGTGCGTCCTGAATTCCATTGCTAGCCACCATCCATCTTTGCTCGTTAGTTATCTGAGTGTTTGAAAATGAATTTATGACTTTTAAAGAACGTAAATCTTAGTCGTTAACCATACTCTTAAAATATGGGAATCATTCTAGTACTAAGACATAAGTTAACAAGCTAATTTATCTGTTATTAAATAATTAATTTACGTACAATATAGAATATTTACATATGCTAATCTCCATTAAGTGTATTTTTTTTTAAACAGTGAAATAGGTTAAAATATAACCATATTTATTCTGTCAACATGGTTATTCATTTATTGTTTTTTGCTGTCTATTTTGTGCGAATTGTTCGTAAGTATGTAAATTTACGTGAGATTTTGTTTCTGTATGATCAAAAATAAAATGAAATAAATTGATAAATCGTTTATTTAAATTTGCCGACTTATGTTGATTTATTTAAATTGAAGATAGATTCCTATATGAACTAGTATCAGATAGTAAAATATTAAAAATCAGAAAACACAATGTGTGTATTTATTTGATCATTACTATAAAATTCTTCAAATTATGCTTAACGACTAATTTACAATGCAGTTAAACATATGAGTTTGTTTGATGTAGTCAGTTGTAAATAAAATATAATCATCATTTAATAAAATAAAATTCACTTCAAAAAATTAACCATCATTGAAAAAACTTGAAAGCATCAGATGATGGTTTCGTCCTAATATGGTACTCTTCATCAATGTTTATCCAAGATTCTGCATGTGGGACTTAAGCCCAGAACCTCTAGATCACTAAGCTAGCACTCAACGGTGTTAATATCTCACTTCACTCGGTCCATGATCTTGCTCAACCATATTATGTTTAGGACTTGAATAACATCTAACCTTTTTTTTTTCGACTGAAAATAAATCTTTGAACATGAATAAATGACAGTGCTAAACCTCTGATTACAGGAAGCAATAGTTAATTTAATAAGTCCGATAGTGAAATAAACTTTGTGTATTTTATATGATCGCTGATTACGACTAATCAATAGGATGAAATTATCATTTTAAAAAGATTAAAAAGTGTGAAATTAATAAGACTTTTATTTAAAAAATCTACCGCAATTAATTACCATATGTTTAATTATTAACAGAAATCAGTTTAAAGAATCACGTATTCAAACTTATTTAAAGTAGATATTTTTATTAACAATGTATATTTCTTTAAACTAATGTTCATTTCATAAATGTAAATCAAGGCAATATCGAGGCGATCCTCATAGGATTTACATATACCAATAAGAGTCTAATCAAGATTCATACAACTAATAGAAAATGAATTAAACCTCACTCCATCGCACAAGCAAGTAGCTATCTGAGCTCAGTAGCTAAGTGGGAAACACAATAGCATTTGAAGCTGGCATGACTAGGTTTGAGTTCTAGAGTAAACATCAACTCTAGTACGCAGGTACATCCATCTGAAAAGTCCCAAATAGGACGAAACACACATTCTGAACTACAATGCTAGCCACTATTCATCTTTGCTTATAATACTTATGACTTAAATCAATATCAAGGTAATTCTCACAGTATGTACATATATTAATTAGAGACTAATCAATCGCAATCCTATACATCAATGAGAAGACTTTATCAACCAATACAAAATAAATTAAAATGAATTACCATTTCTATAGAATTAAATTTAAAAATTAAATAATTATTTTATAAATCTCTAATGCAAATGACCAAATATAATTCACTTCAATATAATGAGGAAGAAGAAGAAGAAGAAGAAGAAGGGGAACAGGAAGAAAAACAAAATCTAAAAAACAAAAAAACAAACATCATTTTAAAAAAAAATTAATAAAATATTTAGCTGATAACAATATTCTGAAAATAAATACAAACTTTCATAGTAATATTATAAAAGATTATTACTTGTCCATTAACAAGAATAAACAGCTGTCTAATAATTTCTAATTTAATATATTTATATAATTATTAATAATTTTACAGTACATTTTGGAAAATTGAAGAAAAAACTTTTTATTTTTCTATGTATCTGTATTTCTTCAACTTGTACTGTTTTTTTTTGTTTTAATGGATATGTGAATGTCTACTGAATTGTACTACTATTTATCAGTGTTCAGTAGTATAAGTTAACAATCAGATTCCCATAATCATTATATATATATATATATATATATATATATATATATATATATATATATATATCGATTGATCACGTGTATATAAAGAAGTGATAATTGTCTAAGTGTTAAACTAAATATTAAATGAGATAGTTATCATTGTTTTAAAATATAAAATATTATATCAATGAAATAAATAAGAGATATGATCATAAGATATTAATAAATTTAAAAAAATTTTTTTTCATCAAAGAATTAAATGCTACTGAAATCTGAAAAGATTGGAGATATAAAAATAATAATCCTTGTTTTCCAGTTGTTAGATATATATTTTTGACAAGAAGAAACAACTGTGTCAGTTAGGGATATGTAATATAGATATTTGAGTTTTTTAAGTAAAATTATACTATGATGTTAATTTAATAGTTCAATAATGCAAAATTCTACTTATTACCACATTTCTAAGATGTGAATATCTATCTAAATCATTATGTATTATATATTTTTGTTATCTAACTCAAAAAATATTTTTTGGTTCTAAGTGTTGATCAATATTTACTAGAAGTGTATGCGGTAGAAAATGTACTCATCTATAATAATGTTGAACATCATGGAATATGTCTTATCAGTTAGATAATCTAATATGTTTCTATCATATCTGGGTGTAACATACTAGAACCAAGTGTATATCTAGTTTTTTCAGGTTTTTATTAATAGTCTAATTGAGATAAATTCATGATTTAACACGATGAGGAAATAAATTTCCTAAATGATAAAATGTAGTCAGAAAGTAATTATAATCATGCAACAAAACCCAGAGCAGTTTAATGTACGGAGAAAGACATTGATTCGAATTCATAAAAGACATAACGTTATCTTGAAATAGCAATTACTTCTTGTCAATATGTTGTAATTGGTTTCATTTCTAGGGTTTCTACAAATCATCGCAAACAATATCATCTCAGTATCATTGTGACGAGTAATGAAATGTGTTGAGATAATGAGTTTTTAAATATTACTTGCATTACCAGTTATAAAACGTTTTACAGATAAGATGAGCATTTGTATACATTTTCTCCCATTCTATATAGGTACTTAATTATATTTGATTTCACACTATTTAAACACTAAATTTGGTTTATAAATTTCGAATAAAGATTCATTTCGATAAATATGAATGATAGTGTATTTAATGTTTTAGGTAGACTGATACTCCTTGAGATACCTGAGTTAATACCAGTCATAACTGTCTTAGTTACGAAGCCGTTTATTTACAACTAAGTAAATTACAGACAGTTTACACTCTTTAACATATCAAACTTTGGTATCTCCAGATACAGGTAACAATTTCAACGTAAAAAAAAGCTATTCAAAATTATCTCTCCAGTTGCATCAGATAAAATATGTAATAAACTTTATTACAATTATCCTTCTTCATTTCGAAGTCAGTTTTAGATTGCATTAATTTTATGAATATTCTTTTTTTTACTAAACCATTTCTCATTCATACTTCGGATTTCTATGATAAACCATCCTTTTTATTTTTTATTTATTTGACGAAACCGAGAAATTCTTTAGTGTATCGAAATTGTCTTCATCATATATGTATTTCACTAAAACCTTCATTGAATTTTTATAAGTAAACATAACGTTGTTTATTATAAATGTGGTACGTTTAGCTTCCATTCGAATTAACTTAAATATTAAGTAATGTGTATGTTCAGAAATACACACGGTGTTTGACATATTAGAAACCCCGAATAATTATTAAGTAAGAAATAAATGTGGTTTTGTTCGTCTTTAGTTTGTTTTAAGTTTGAGAAGCTAATTTTACATGAATCAGTTAACCAATAAAGCATAAACGGAAATGTTCAAATAGTTTGTTTTATCTTTATTGAATTAGACGTTCACATATAATTGAAAATTGACATAAACTGAAAAAAAATCCTTTTTATAAAACACTTGAAGCGAACGTTACTGAGTTCGAGTCCCAGAATGAACATCAACCCTGAGATGCGATTACATCCAGCACATGAGTCCTAAACAGGACGAAACGCGTGGCCTGTATCTCCCTTCTAGCCACTATCCATCTTTGTTTATATGCTAAACATTTGCTAATAAATATATTAATAATTGTTATTTCAGGTTGTATGCAGCTGATGAGAAACTGTGAAATAGAATGAATTAATAATTTTTATTTTAACTAGATCGATAACCGGTATTAACTGAACGAAATCCTTTAAAATACTAAACAATAACAGTTGAATTCCTTTGCATGTCATTTAATTTTAAATGTTTTACAAATTTATTAGCCCGAATATCACATTGAAACAGCAACGTTTTCTACTATTCATAGGTGCTAAATTCGATGCTAAAGGAAATATGCGAGATTGGTGGAGTGCAGAAACATTGTCAGCTTTCGAAAAAAATTCACAATGTATGATTGATCAGTATAGTAATTATTCAATTCTTAATACAAGTGTAAGTATATTTTAACATATGAACTATTCTTTATGTTTTATTTAACAACAGTAGTGTTATTTCTTTTTGAATTTCCAATCTTGATTTAATCAAATAGATAATCTTTATGTTTGAATAATATGATTAGATGGCGATGGCTATCAGAACTAGGTAGATTAATAAAAGGCTTACTCAATACGATCAGTCATAATTGTTCTAGCGATATAATTGGAGACGTATAGCTGTTAACCGAAACAATGATGAATGGTGGTTATTTATTGAAATCTATAAACATTTGAATAGGCAGAAATATCACAAGAGCTATTATGTTTTTGGAATCTAAAAAACGAGTCTGTACTATCCTATCATTGACAAGTGACCTAAATAGTCTTATGTTGAAATGAAGACTTAGATTAATATTCAGTAAGACATTTTACGCAGCTCAACTCATCATTATGGAAAAGTCAAGGTTTATGTTACACCAAAAACATAAACAATGTGTCAACGACTTCTTCACATCGTACTGAGACTATCCACTTACGTGTGTATATGAAAGCTCACACGTTGAAAGGATCAATCATGATCTACACGTAAGGGTGACTGAATATATACCTAAATGGTTACAAACACAAATGAAATCCTATGGTCAAATAAGATCACAGGATGGATAAATATCTTTCATTTCTATGAAACATTTAGTTGTGACTGGTCATAGGATTGATATCAAGTCATCGTTCGTAGTGGTACACAAAAACATTTAAGGATGTACACTAAGGTTCACTGAAAACTTGGCTATAGAAAATATGAGATCCGATTTATGTGTTGAAAAAACTAGTTCTTACATTTAATCTACCCTAATAATAATAATTTATCATCCAATATGGTTTTTCACACCGTGTACTCTATTTTTATCCCTCCTTTCTTTTACCTTCCAATTTTTCCAGTTGATCTTTCACGTTAAATACCTTAGCAAGTATATGTGTGATCAGATTGTTCGAAATGTAATGCGCAAACATATCGCATAGTTCTGATAATCATCGTCTTCTTATTGCATTAAGCAAATTTACTAAGAAACAGACTGACTTTTTAGAATTTATACCTTAGTTATAACTAATTACAACTGGAATTTAAGTATATTAATGAATTTCCCAAGTATAACAAGTCACAGGTTTATTTGTTTTACCATTTCAACGAGTTTCCTGTTTCACATTAGAGATGACTTCCAAAATTTCCGATCCAGTAACTAAATACTATACTCAACTCTGATGAAAAACACTAGAAATGAGTCATTTACAAATGATTTTTGTATTTATATAAGTACGAATTTCAAATAAATTTTTTGTCATGATACTGATTACAAGTCTCCAATAATGAATAAAGACAGCACAAATAAAAATGCCTTTCCGAAATCTGTTAAACAAGTGAACATATGAATATAAACTGTATATACGTAGCTGTATAAATTTGGTTTATACTGTGTTATTGAAGCATAGCAGCTTATTACAAAATGTTTTACAAATCAAATATAGATATGAAACGCTCATCTAAACATTTTAGATAGTTGGGAAATACTGGATTGTAGATGAGCACTGCTGAGAAGTCCCACAATGAGACGAAAAGGCAGTCAAATGCTTTTAAGTTTTCCATGATGGTCTAAATTCAATTGACTCATGATCTCACCCACTGAAATTAAAATAAATTATTAATTTGTGTATATAGAATTTTGTTTATATATTCTTCTACAGTAAACTTAATCATCGATGTAATTCTAAGTTGTAAAAATGGACTTGATTTTAAATTGATTCATATTATTCGTGGGGTTTTAACAGATTATGTAATGTATTGATAACTGAACAAACGGTACTACTGAAAATATCTAATAACCGTAATAAAGAAAAGTATATACAACGTATTTTTTAAGTTATTTGTTACTAGAATGATAATTTATTATTTTATTACAATTTTCTTATTTGATAGCTTAATGGAAAAATGACATTAGGTGAAAACATCGCTGATAACGGAGGTCTTAAAGCAGCCTATAAAGTAAGCTTTATTTGTAGTTACGTTTAAAATACATGAATATTCTGTTTATATTTTGCGTATTATTGAATAACAGAACAAATGCTTAATGTGTCGTGAAATTGTTTTTTTTTTTAATTTCATCATTGTGAAAGTTCTCATGTATTACTTTTAATAGAAAGTATTCATTAATTATGACAGTTAACACAACAATATAAAAATTGGGAGAGTTCTTATCTGGGGCTGTTATTACTGACCAGTAATAATAGTCGATGATAAACTCGATACATAGCTAACTTAATTCAATAATGTCAATGGTTATTTATCTGACTTTTGGATTACTTAACACTATAGTTTGTGAACTATCCCTTCAGTTTTAATGAAAATGCATTAAGGTGAGTCATTAGTTAGCACATAGTTATCGAAACTTTTGCGTTATTGATTGACTTCAGTTAGCCAGCCAATCAAAACCAGGAAGCACTGGAAATATTTTCCATTGGAATATGAGTGTCTATAACCCAATCAGGGATTAAACCTAGGACCTACAGATATCGCTGCCAAAGCTTAATCTTCATCGATTTAAGTTTTGGAACATGTATCATACACACATCCACTGCCTACCTTATAATATTGTTCTAGCTAACATATAAATAAGTGAAAAACTTTTCATTGGTAACCAGGAGAAGTTATAAAAATCAGTTCATGAATTTATTTGTTATTAGTTCGATATGTACAGGTAGATGCAAGTTTTCTATTTTATGAGTTAATCTGTTCTTAAGAACAGTATATGTTATAATCTAAATTTGATTTCAGTTGAGTAGATGAATTCATTTTCTATATTGCCATAAATTACAAGCTTAGTATTATCCCATATTATCTATTCTTTTCTGTTGTAGTTACTTATAGTAACTTGATAATTTATTGCACTGTTCAACGATCTTATGAAATATATAAGCTATGTCTGTCTAAGCCACACTTTACTCGAAATATCATCAATAAATCACTTCAATTTCTTAAACCTTTTCTACGACCATATTTGTTTCCTTTTAATTATAGGCATTTAAAAAGTTGGAGGCCAAATATTCCGACAAACCTATATTGCCTGGTTTAAATTTCACTCCAGATCAGTTGTTTTTCATTGGATTTGCCCAGGTATGTTATCATTAATTTAAAGCGATAAATAGTTTATGATATCCTGTTTTATTGAATTTAATCAACAAACTGATTATTTTTAAATATTAATTTACAAGTATTATGGACCAATATGTGATGATCATAAATAACGTTTCGAGAATACCTTAACGGGCCCTTGTATCTGACTCTAATTTGGATTGTACGAATGATCGTTATTAAAATATACATTCTGATTATTCTCGTATATAATTATCGACTTAATCCACGTTAGTGTCTAACGGAATTAAATAAGTCAAATATGAGAATGGATTTTTGAATATATATGTTTTGCACAATCGTTGATAGGAGCAAATAAACGGAGAGACATAGCAAAGGATGGGAAGAAGAGAGATCACGCTCATATAAAAACAGCCAAGGTTGATATGTGAATAATTAACAAGATCAAAACGTGACTCAAGGAGAAGGGACAAATTGGTTTGTCCAGAAGTTAGAACAAGTTATATGGGCTTAACATAGTAAACGACACTACAAACTTTATTTAATTACATAAATGGTTAATTGAAAACAAGAACAACATAATTCATCAGTAGATTATCGTCAAGTAATAAGTCGATAACTTGTAGGTAAACTCTATGGCTTATTTTAGAAAATTAAAATGAACTTTTTATTTAAACTCAAAAATGTTGGTGAAGGTTGGATTAAAATAAACTTGTATAACATGAACTAAAATAATTGGCTTTATATCATGGATTGACTTTCTTAGTCAACCATTTGAAATAAAATAAAATGGATTGTTTTCAGGCATATTATGTGAATTGAACTAAAAAATGTTTTTTTACCATTGGATTATATCAACGAAAACTTTTCAGATCAATCTTTACAGAAATTAACCAATCGCTCATTGGTTATCGTTTTCAGAGTTTAGGTCACACTTTGATATGGTAACTGATTAATATCATAAACCTTCAAAACAGAATACTTAAATCTGAACAATGTTCATGATTTCAAAGAAACGTTTGATATGGAGGAAATTGTCGAAAGAAACATTGGTTTTACTATAATTTTGTACTGCAAATCGATTTGACCACCATTAAATCCAATGATATCAACGATATCAAATGGTCATGAACTCTATACCGCTGACCATCAGCAGTGATTCAATTTTTACGCTTTTTCCTTTAAGATCGTATGTGCTACTGGAAAGCTTTAATGGTTGATACTGTCTGATTACTTTTCACAGATATAAGGTATTTTTTTATGAGACCGAAGAGTGGTTATTTACTTACCAAGTGGTTTTGTTAAGTTGTATTTGATAATTCCGTTAAAAAATTGATGGTTTTTCTGATACATACGAATATTCGTCGAATAGTTTGACAGAAATCGGGCACCGCGTATAAAGAAGTCATTATATGTGAAGTCCAGACAAGTTAGCTGGACGAAACGTTGAAATTGTTTAAAATTCAATCGCTAAGATTATTTCAAATATAATTTTTACATATAATGGTTTTTCTAATAATTTAATACCAAGTTCTAAAATACACAACAGTGTATTAAATCTAGAAATGTTTAATAAAAAAAAGATAGAAAGTTCTAACACATCCAATGAAGAACCAACGGTAAATGAATTCCAAACCAAAGTTAAAAAAACTACTAAAACATTATCAGTAGTCCAGAGTAAGTAGTTTAGGATTCCTTGTGATATTAATAGTCACATTTTCAAGATGTCTGTAATAAAACGTGTTTGGCTAAATATTGGGAATTTAAAATGTAAGCTGGAACCTGTGAAGCTGTTGAATTAGACTATATTAGGGTCAATATTTTAAGATAAATTTATAAGTCCGTCTTTATCGTGAAAATGTGTATTTGATTGAGTACATACTGTGATTTATTATAGTCAATCAATCAGCAAATAAAGTCAATTAAAACTAGAATGATATATATTGAAAAACAAAACATTTCACCCATACGTTTCATCTATTTAATCACCTAGATCTGTCGATCTAATACTTTCTTCTTTTATGTATTAATGCTAAAAGCAATTAGTGTTGCGTCTCCTCATTTCTAAATTTAGCTACTACAAGTTTTCTCTAAACACCTTTACTAATTAACAGTTTTTAGTGTCAAGTTTAATTTATAAAACACGTTTGGCTAATTATTGAAAATTTAAATTTTAAGCTGAAACTTGTGAAGGTATTGAATTAGCTGATATCTTTAATTAAATGGTCGCGGTAAACATTCTTTTATGATTATTAAACACTTAGGTATGTAAGTCTAAATGACTGATTCTGACAAACTTTCAGTTATCAATAAGATGTGTAGTGTATCAGCTACCTTTGCATATCAGTTATAAGATGTATAACAATTAGCATACTTTACTTGAGTTTGGAATGCGCTTCTCTCCCTCTAAATGTAAGTTGTTGCTTCAGGGCTGGTCTGTGTCAACATCTGAACTAAAGATAGGGAGTGAAGTAGTTGAACGCGTTGACAAATTCGTTTATCTTGGAAGTCTGATCAGCCCCAATATGTCGGTGTCTAACGAAATCTCAGCACGGATTCGAAAAACTCGTTTGGCCTTCGCCAACTTACATCACCTATGGTGAAGGCGAGATATCCGTCTATCAATTAAGAAGCGAGTATACTGTGAGTCAGTTCGTTCTCTTCTACTTTACGGTCGCGAAACGTGGCCATTAAGAGTAGAAAATACTCGTAAGCTACTAGTATATGACCACAGATGCCTTAGAAATATTGTTTGCATCTGCTGGAATCATCGGGTAATTAATAGTGGGATTAGACGTTAGGGTATTAGGAAATGATGGCAAATCAGTTGATGAGATTGTGAATCTTCATCGACTGAGATAACTAGGCCATGTGTTGCGTATTCCTGAATACCTATTACCTCTACGTACAATGCTAACCGGTGTTGGGGATGGTTGGAAGAAAGTGAGGGGCGGCCAAACCAAAACGTGGCATCAGTGCTTGGAGTCACTAACTTCTGGTTTGAGCCATGTTGGTAGGTGCAGACTGCTTGGTTGAGGTCCGCGTGATTATCGTAACCAATAGTTGGAGACTCTTGGTGACATCGCTCAGAATCCATCATAATGGCGTAGGTGTATGCATTCTGTCTTCCCTTAAACCATGAGATTAAAACTGCTTTATATCTTTCTTCTTGTACTATATCCTCATATATTATTACCACTGAATTAAATACTCCGATGAATCCGGTGTTCATCTTGCTGTGCTAATGCAGTGTGGTAACTTGGACTGATGCATATATGTTCCTGGTCCTACATTGTAGCTTACTGATTGACTGACTTGAATTTTACTGATTTTATGATTACATGTATTCTAGTTTTTAAAAGTTGATCTATAAATTTATGTTAAACACACTGTCATGTAAGTTGTATTAAATTATTTTATTCTCAATTTATCTCCAAATTTTAGTTATGGTGCATTAAAAGCCTCCCTCAGTCAGTTCTAAATACTGTGCTTTTTGATGTTCATACAGTGGAGCAGTACAGGTAATTTCATAATCTGAATCTTGTAAGAATTATTAAGGTAGTATACAAATCTATACATTATAAAAATGCAGTCAAAAATATTTTATTCGTGCTCTCTTAAAGTAATTACATTCACACATTTTTGATGGAGTATTGTTTTCTGAGCTAGATTGTATGGTCATGGAGCTGTTATCGTTCTTCTGAACGACATCATCCGCACAAACCTTGTGTAGAAGTGAATTGTTTGAATAATTCACAATTTGTAAAATATGTACTTTATGATCTCGAATCATCAGCTAAATATTACAGCTATCGCGGTAAAACTAGAAAGTCCAAAGTTCAAGCCCGTGCAGTTCATGAATCACAAACATTATACAACTAATTGATAACTTTCCCTATTGTAAATTAAGAAAAATTACTCAGATTAAATGTATACAAACTATAGCTTGATAATTGTTTCAGGATATTTTAAATAATTCACCATTTTATTGAATAATTTAGAACTACCCGTTGTCTAGGAGACAGGAATTGTTGTTATTATTATTCACTATTCTAGTGAAGTAAATCTAATTAGTTTACTGAATTTATTCATGGCATTTATAATTATATTTAAAAGAAATCAGATAATTTTGATCCAAAAATAACAAAACAAAAGTATTGACATGCTTTAGATTTTCAAACCTTTTATATTAACTATCTATTTATACTCAAGGAACTGTTTAATTAAATTTATACCAGTTGAATGAAAACCAAATAATTGTTAATTTAATCAAACTATCTACTTTATTGAATCCAATTTATATTTTACAAGACTTGGCATTACTTATACACTACCACAAGTATGTTGTTTCATCTATATGGTGAATGGTACCTGTAATTTGCATGTTTACATAACTAAAATACTATCCAAAAGATCCCGCTTCTTGTAGATTAATTTTAAATATGTTTAATTGGAAACTCACTAAATGTCATTTTTTTAAAGGATGTTTCATCTTATAGTAACTAATATATTTTGTCAATCTGGAAATGATGAAGAGAAATGAGAGAAAATGTCTAAAAAGAATATATTTGTACACTTTACTAAAATATCAACACTTTAAAATTATCTGTGCCTTGTTGTACTGATATAAAATTCACGTAAACAAATAGCAACTAATATTATTGTGCTTAGTTGAATAATATTTCTCAATATTGAAATATTAGACTGCACTGATGAAACCTTAATACATTTGCAATCATTAGCTGAAAAGGGAATGTGTAGATCATATTTACATCTCGAAGGTACGACGAAATAAATGACATAACCAGATATGCAATGTTTAGGATTCCCTAAATGAGTTGTAGGTAAGACATTTTAAACACTTAATTTCATTAGACTGTGTTGTCTCAAATGGCTAAATCATATTTTATACAAGCTTAGATAACAATAATGCTTTGCTAAAAGTAAATAGTCTAAGAAACATCATGGAAGATTTAAGAAAAGAGCTCACTAATTCATGTAGTGGGCTACCGTTAATTTAACAAATTGTGTATTAGTCTTTGCTGACCGATTGATAAATTTTCTACCTTTCTTACTTCATATCTAACGTTTTCTTGTTCTCGAATATTTTCATACACTTCTATACTTGATAATGATGCCAGCTCGTTGTTATCTAAATATCTGATCTATTTACAACATTCTTCGAAATTCAGAATTATTTCAATCATAGTTGATTTATGTTATAACAAAACCATTACCGATCAAAGTTTCGCACACATTTTTCTTTCTTTGTAGAGTAATCGGTACCATAACAAATTCAGAAGAATTTGCTAAAGTTTTCAACTGTCCTCCAGGATCACCAATGAATCCTGTAAAGAAATGTCATGTTTGGTAAATATTATTACTGATTATAATTTTAAACAAAACGCTATGTTTCTATCCTATTTTCCATCCCATTTCCATTTTGGATAATTTGGGCAATTTCACATAAACAATTCTTCATCAGTATTATCACTATCGTCTTTGTTGTTAAGATGATCTTTATTGTTATTATCATTATTGTTAATATTCGTACAATTTTTATGCAAATAAATGAAACGTGATTAAGCTCAATTTCAATACTTGATAATAAATGTCTTTTAATTATGTCAATATATTCCTAAGTAGATGGATGTGCTTGTGTGTGTAGTTCACTTTGATTTTTTTTATTAAGGGAAAATAGAAACTTTCAACCTAAATGTATTCATATGGTTATATACTCTTATATCTGTAAATGTTAATGTGCTTATTTGTATGGAATATATGTGTATGTGTAAACTCATTTACAATCATACATGAAGATCTTTATCAATCGACAATTTTTATGAAACTAATCAGCATTGAATTTGTGATCTTACATAATCGTTTGTAATTTCCAAGATTTTTCATTGTGATTAATAATCAGATTATTAATGGATATAATTTTTATTCTCTTTTTTTTCATTTTTCTTTCTTTCGTTAGTTTTTTTTCAGTCTTTTTTTAATTACGTGATTAAACTTTAAAAAAAATATTCATTCGCTTCACTTATATTTCTTTTATGCTTTTTTTGTATTCTTCTGTGAATATTTTGTGCCTGACTTTGAAATGAATAAAGAGGGAAACAGGAGAGAAAACACAGTAAAACGATCTATTTTACTAAAGTTCTTATCATTACACATTTAAAAAACACCTAATATTTGTATTACAGTGTATTCAACATGTTTTTTTTTATTTATTGTCCAAGCATAAAATGTTTTTTTTTTAAAGGAATAATGCAATGGCATATATATGTGGTGCAGTTTTCTGTTTAATGATGAATAATGTATTTAATAGTCATTGTGATTTTATCCTCATTATTACCGTTTGATTTTTCAGTTATGTGGAAATCTGTTGAGTTAACCAATAACATTTTTTGTTGAAGTTCAATTTGTATTCGTCATCGTATGTTACATTTGTTTAAACATATGATAAATCTTGGTTCATCATCAGACCTAAGAGAGTCTATAACTCTGACTCATAACAGATTAGCTAGTGTTTTATGAATTCAATAAACGTTAAGAAAACATATAGGCAGTGTCAACTTCTTAATAATTTAACGATAAACGTATAGGAATATCTTAAAGTGTGTAAATACTAGTGAAATAAAACATGTCATGTTTTATAGTAAAGCTTGATATGGTTGAAAGTAATGCTAGAGTTCTTTGAGCTTGGATGAATACTATAAACATATTACATAATTTGTAAATAGAGAAATTCAGGTCGACATCCTATTTTTTTCTATAAAGTTAATAACCAATTTATTAAGTCAGTCCAGTGAATATTGTTAAGGATGTAAAACAAAGAAAATATTCTTGGTAAACACCCGTTTTCATGATACATATACAAAGTAATTTCGGTAGATAGAAAGCCATTTGAGTTAGCGTTATCGGATTTCAAATGAGTTATGATTTATAAAGATTTTAAAAACGATGTACCGTTATAGTCTTTCATATAACCATAGTGACCATGTAACTTGAATAAACTAAGAACAAAGTGTAGATACTTTATGTTAGAGAAGTCAGAAATAAAGTGAGATAGAATAATATTAAGAGACTATAATACGAGAAGATAGATTATGCAATACATAGACTAGTTGAGTAAATCTCAGTAGTAAGAATTAAGATATTAGATTATGTAGACTATGTAAAAATGAAAACAAAATCTTACATAATAATCCCATGAAAAATAAGGTCATCAGGGTAAACATTTCTGTTTCTATACTTTTCTAGAATATTCATACATTTAACCTATAAATAAGCGAACATTTAAACAATTTTAATTCTTCCGTATTATAATCTCTTAATATTATTCTATCTCCATATTTTGACTCAGTTTATTTCAGACGTTTCTGATCTAACGTATGTACATTTACTTTGTTTTAATGAATAAAACTATAGTTTTGGGTTGTAAGCAGCTGAAGAGAATTCATAAAACCAACGAAATTCATATTGTACTGCTAAGATATTTGTTCATTCTTCATTCAAGTTAATATAGTTTTACTGAAACTTGATTGCATTTCTGTACCTTATTGGAAGAGGTTATATTGAATCAGTCAAAAATAACAAATAAATCCCATTTGTCAGGTTTTCAAAATAGATACATGCTTCATTCTTCTAAGTTACAAACAAACTTCTAAACAGTTATCGAGTATTAGTAGGCTGAAATTCAAACATTTTCGCTTATACTTGATAGAAAGTAATCTGTTCTCTCTGTTTGCAGATATCAATGACAACGTTGCATTTAATGGTTTTAAATGAATTGATCACTAGGTAGAAGGTTAATAACAAATATATTTTTAGTCATCTCCCGATTCGGTTATTTGTTTACGCTAAAGAAGCGGCTAACATTGAGTCACGAAACAATACAATTTTTCTACTTGTTCTCCTCGATGTTTTATTCTGATCTGTAATCAATTTCTCTGAGATCTACTATATTCATTCATTTGGATAACAGTTTTAAAGACAAAGTGACTTCAAAGTAATAATATATTTGCATTTTCACAACGAACTCTTATTTATTCAGTTTTAAGTCGTGCCATTCTTGTGATAAACTTATGAAACTCTGTGGTCACTCAATCTGCAGCAGATGAACTGAGTCTTGAATTCACAACTCAGTAATTAAAGCCACGTCTTTTTATCAATAAGACATTACTCACCTGTCTTTGCATAAACGAAAAGTAGATCTAATATTCTGTAGATGTAAAGGAAAATTTAATGACTCTATGAGATCAGTCGCCTGAGCTAATCTACATAGTGTAACCGAGTAACAATTACTATCAACCCAAAACATCACTTCAAAGAATAACAGTTTGTATTATATAGAATCGTTAGGTTGTTAGTCAGTTTTTAAGAAACCATTGTAGCTTTCAAACTCACTTATCATCTATCATATTAATACAGTTATGACACGCTTCAAGATATGATTACGTGAAAAAATGTGTTATTTTAAACTAAAAAATGCACTAAATGACTTATTGTACTTTTATATTTGTTATCTTAACGGATAATCTTAACACTTCATGAAGTATATTATCTATATTGTTTACCTATTTCTGGGCCAATTAAATGAATTGAAAAGTCTAAAAGGTTAGGAATGTTTTCTGATGTTAATTGATAAAAATCTTTTAATTGTTTAATAACATTATTATTTGCGATGGGGTCATGAAAAAGTTAATAACATAATGGGCAAGTTGTTTTGTTAAATTATAGTAAATCATAAAAATCATTTTATGAATAATGAAGTAAATATAGAGAGTTCGGTAACATTGCCTACAAACTCATACTCTACTACCTTACATGTAACCATTCAGACGTTACTTGAATGATAAGATATGTTTCTTATATTTAGTTGGTTTAATCAGTTTAAATAATCAAAGGAGAACCAGACGAATTCATTCTATTTCGGGACTTTTTATCACCTCCATACAAAGCAAAGCTTTAAAAAGCAAACTGAATAGAGACAAACTCTTTTCATACAGTAATTAATGAAGTTGAGGTAGACGTTCGAAACTACCTAAAAAGTCATAATAAGACAAAAGCTACACAAATATGGTTTTAAATTAGAATTAAGATGAGTGATTGTTGTTTTCTATTGAAAAAGCTAGTAACACAAAGTACGAGAGAATGAAATTACTAATGATGAGAAGCTTAAAAATAGAATGGATTCATTTTGCTTTACAAATCTTGTTTTACATACTTTTTTTAAATTTTACATGATGTGACAAACTACTTATTAGTAGTATAATTTCTCCGACAAGATTTCGTCTATGATAGTAAGAAATCCATAGTTCAGTGGAAATAAGTGTGTGTATAGGTTGCATAAAAGATATTTCTTGCTTTACCATTGGTCACGTGATCTTGGTAAGTATCTTAAATACCTTTTATCTGGGTTAATTAGCGATGTATGTAAATCGCTTTTTCAGGTGGTTGACAATTAAGTTGTTCAATATCACATGTTAAATAACAGAAAGTAATATTGATATTTCCACTCGTACAAATATATGTTTTTAAATCATGGAAAGTAAGTGTTATTATTGAACATTCCACCGGAAGCTACTTTCATATCAGTTTGATAACTGTAAAAAGAACTAGAAATCTATTCCTCATGCAATCATTTTATACGGCTTCTTGTTTTTAATTTTTTTTTGATCATTTTCATTAGCTGTTCATGAGGTAAACATCACTGAATCGGTAGGCGACTGTCAATAATCTAATTTCAATTAATTAATTATTTAGCTTGGACATAATATAATGACACCGGTTATATTTGTCTCACTCCCGCTATTTTAGTAAGAAAAAAGTACTTAATCATATTCATATTTTGATTTAATAATATTTCTTGCTGCTACCCATAAAAGGTAGTATTTTGTGTATATTTGCACTCACTAATTTATCTGCACTATCGGTGAGAGATATATTTTTTTACGCACGAACATATTATTAGCTATCTCATTAGATATCAGAAAATTACGTTCATTCAGAATTGATGAAACATTCCGTCACTTATGTATATATATGATGCTACAATTTGGGTTACGATAACACTAGATATAATAATATTCCCTCCCATTATTATTGAGGACTACCTAGACGATTTCAATTGAAATATGAGCTCCTCACATCAGTAGCTATAAGCTAACTATATTTTGAATAATTGCTAACGATAGAATCTAGGATACGACTTTTCACTTTTTGCTTTATACAATCATTTCAGTAAATATAAAGTGTTCAGTAGGTGATTCAAGTGATCATTACAGTAGTTTTTAACAATTTTTCATTATTTTTTTATCAATATGTATGTTCAGATTTTTCTCCAGCCCATAATTAGTGAATGAGTGACTAAGAAAATTGCTCCACACTAGTAATTATTTACCTAGTGAATTTATCCTTGAAATTTAGAGATTAAATTTTGATAAAACGTTTAGAATGTTCATTAGTTTATGGTAGTAAAATGCACATTTTAGAAAAAATGACAGAAAAACTACCTTATCACTAAATTTGCTAACGAATTCAACAAATTAACTATATTTAACTTCAGAAAACGTGTTACAGATTAATGGAATGCTCTGGTACAATATAATATAACAAAACATTTATTTACTAAACGATTTTATCAAATGCTTCATACTACTACTTAATAGTAAAATGAATTGTTTATAATATTCATTTATCATTAGCTTTGTATAATAAATCAGTAAAAATTACTGTGAAGTCTACCAACTCTTAATCATGGACAAAGTTATAGAAATCTTTCATATCAAACAAGATATCTGTTTAATTATATAATCTTAAGCTTATATGAAAAAGTACAGCCTTAATAGAAAAACACATTAACGTTCTTGTGAAATAGGTAATTTTTTCTACAATCCTAGATTTCAATGAAGCTCGATATGTCCTTCTTTCTCAAAATAAATGTGACTTTTATGAAGTTTATAATCCGCTTGAATAGAAAATCTTTCTAGGTCCTATGGAACCTTATATTTACAATCTGTAAAATGTATCAATATCGAAAAAATTCTCATTTTAAGTCTGTAATTTGTTGCTGTCACGTTTTTGAAAAAAACTTCTATTCAAAAATGAAATCAACATTCTACAGCGGCTGATCACTGAAGAGTTACTTATACTACATTTATGTAACCCGTATTGCCAAAAGAATCTCATCGATTAGGTTAGTGAAAAATCTCAATCAGAACTACATATAGGCTCTAGCTCCAACCACTTTGTACTCAAACATAGCACATATAACGTTGAGATATATAAGATAATGTTGTTTTGGTAAAGTTACTGTTGATGATTACTCAAGAATAAACAACGTAGTATACCACTTCATATTGACATCTAAGTACATTTACTTCATAAATGGAGAAAGCCTAACAGATTCACACTCATCTTATTGACATATCAGACTACTCAGATTAGGTGACATACCGAGAAAATAACTATTTACCTGAATGAAACTTATTTATTGTCAAATGACTCTCTATACAAAATCAATTATAAGTGAAAAAAATGAATTTCCGTAATCAATAATTCCATGATAGAAAAATACTTCATTTTTCTATTTACTATTTCAGAACACATTCTAACTTTAATTGTACCAAATATGAATTAATTAAAGCCTTTTTGAAGGGAGTACCTTCTACAAAGGAAAAACAGAAAATTCTACATTTCTTTCTTCTTATGAGAACCTACTGTCTAGGTATCTAGTATAAAACAATGTCGAAATAGTTTATTCTCTGATATTTCTGTCTGTAATCCGGGTGGATTGCATAGAAAACATTCATAAGGATATAATAAAAGATGGATGGTGGCTAGCAGTGGAATCCAGGGCGCCCGTTTCGTGCTACTTGGGACTTCTTGATTAATTATGTTCTTGAATAAAAGGAATCATTATTATTTTTACATTATACAATAATTTATTATGTAGAGAAAAGGATTGCATTTATTCATCATGCTTTACGAACTACTTATACCTCTTTTATTTATATTAAATATAACTCATCATCAAATAAATTTTCTAATTTAATAACAATAAATTGGTAGAAACTTACAAATTAGATTTTGTGAGTCATACTGAAAACTTTGAAGCCATATACTGCTTAACGAACTTGTTATGGGTACATATACGACGAAACACCTATTCACTCCCTTCTAATTGTAATTTTCTAGCTGATATCATTCGGCAATAAAAATAAATTATTATTGCATGCCTAAGAATATGAAATACTGAATAGGTTTCTGTAAATAGGACTATTTAGTTGGATTTGAAGTGGTTTGGATTATCTCATTGTTGTTGTTTTAACGGAATTCCAATAACCTTTGGTTGACATATATGCATTTTGTAAAAATTTCCTCAATATATCCATTATGACACAAGTTAGTATGGAATAGGTGAAATGTGGCTGTCAGTCGAATCTAGGATGCTTTAGTTCGTCTTATTAGAGCTTGATCAGCTGGATACACCTGCATCCCAGAGTTGGATGGCTTTCTGAACTCATTAACTAAGTAGATGATGAGATGGTTTTCAAGGCGAAAATCTCTGTATTCGAGTCCCGGAGTAAATTTCAATTGTGGGATGCAAGGACATTCAGCCAACGAGTCCCAGTTAGAACGAAGTTCATGTTCCGTCTTTCACCGATAAACACAACCCATCTGTCATTATAAAACTATTTAGGTCTCTTTATTTTACTCAAAGTTTATATCAATAAAAATATATACCACTATAAAATTAACAAAACAAATGAGAACAAATTAAGTTTAAAGTAATAATATGTATTTATTTCACCGCTTTAAATATTAGGCAAATGTATTGTTGTCTTAGACTTTTGACTTAATTGATTATATTGTTGTTTAAATGAATGATCATCTGTATTTTGGCGCATAAAACGTATAGGGATATGTAATGGTGAATATGATGATAAATTTAATAATGATTTATAATAATTTTCATTTGTAGATTCTATTGTATTTAATAATGATGTTGTTGCAGTTGTTATTGTATTCATTGTTACTGTTGAAGATGTTGTAGTTAATGTAATTGTTTGAGCTACATTTGGCATAGAAATAGATAAATTATAAAATCCATGATTTATTGCAGTTTTACCGGTTAAGGAACCCATTGAAATTGTTGTTAATGCTAAATTAGAATGTGTTGGATGAAGTTGTAAAGTATGATTATTTTGAACAATTTGTGCATGATTTGAAAAAATTGGTTTAATTAATGATACTGGGGCATGTGCGCGTGAATCACCATACATATTATTATTATTACTATTACTATTTATTGTATTAGTTGTACAAGTAACTGCGATAGTAACAGGAGTTGTAGAATTTAGATTTGTTGCTGCTGTTCGATAAAATGTTTTATGAGTAGAGATCAATGGTAGAGGCTATAAAAAAGTTCATTAAATATGAAAATTATAGTAATTTCTTTTTATTAACAAACTACTTATTTAATCAAAATATTATCTATACATAGTTACATTAATATAACAAGTAAGCAAGATGTTCATGAATAAGTTTCCCAGCTATTTATTGTAATCAGATATAATTGTTTCCAAACCTTTACTGTTTATTGATTTACTAACAAAACATTTCAAATAAGAAAAGGTGATTTATTAAACTCTTAAATGATGATAAAAGTCTTTGATCCTATGAGAATAAATCGATTTTGTAACTTCGTTACATATCACTGATAAATTACAAAGAATTTATAAGCAATCGTTGTATTCTAGATTTTCCTTATCAAATATTTTATTTTATTAATAATTATATCTTTATCAGATGGAAATTTAAAAATGTTTCCTAATATATTTAAACTTATATCTAATCTGTTGTTAGCCTGTACTTTGTAGACTTCAGTAGTGGTTGGAATTTCTTATCAAAAGAATATCGATTGATTTAAGTATTACATCACTTAGGTAGTAACAACTATGGATTAACAACATATTCTTGACCGTTGTGTATTTTTTCTTGATGGTACCCAAAATCTTTCAAAAAGACTTGTAATATCTGCAAAATTAATTAATCTGGAATATTATCAACTATTTGAAGAAAATTAATAATAACTGAATATATTATCTAACGAAACACGTTCCCAGTTCATATACTGACCAGTAGAGTTCAAACCATGTCGGATGTGAGACAGTTATCCACCGAAGACAATGGACGAAGGGTTGCATAAGATCATGGATCGGTTGAAGTTAGACATTTACACCATTGGATGCTGGCTCAGTGGTTTAGAGGCTAAGTGTTCACGCTCGTGACAGTGGGTTGTGAGTTAGACCACCACGTACGGAATCGTGGATGTGCACTATTGAGGAGTTCCATATTAGAACAAAACGGCCGTTCAATGCTTCCAGATTTTCATTCGTAGTCTATTTGAGATTGACTGGTGTATTTTACTGTTAAAATACTATGATTTAGGAGTACACATACTCATACGATTTAGAAACGTAAACATTTAAATTATCCTGAAAAACTTAAATCTTGTAAAAAAGAAATAAAAGTATCAATAAGATTGTTTTTTCTACGGAACATAGTTCAGCATATAAAACACAACAATAGCATTTCACAACAAGATATTTCTTACTGTGTATCTTTAATTATTTTAATCCATAAACTTTAATTAGCGTTAAGTAGTAAAGTATGGTTTCATTTAATTACTATTAATAAACCAATATTCATTATTAAAACAAATCCCTATGTTATCTACGTAAAACTAAGTATCTTTATCCAACATTAATTTTTACCAAAGTAATCAATACATTTTCATGTACTAATAAGGAACATTTTGATATGTTTATAGTAGACAAATCTTATATTATTTATGTGTGTGATTTAATTTATATTTAAACATTCTTCAAATGGATTTTCTATAGTCACTCCCATAATCAAGAAGTAGAAGTTGACGAAGAAGAAGGGTATATTCATTGTACGCCCAAAGAATTCAAAACAATTTCAATCAAATGACTCATTTTTCTTTGTTTTACAAAGACACGCATGGTATATTTATTTCATAAAACATTTTTTATCAGATTATAAATTAATGGAATTGATGAATGAAACTTGTAAAAACAAACAAACAAACAAAAGGGTTTGATAGTTTGCGTGTTTCACTATGAAACAAAACAATACACAATAATCAATTAAGTTTACGACTAAATTTAAACTAACTATCTTTGATTTTATGGGTTCAATGTTTAAATAAATTTATCATAAATTTTAAATAATAGAAATATTTCTATTTTAATTCACTGATTGCTTATATGTTAACTCTTTCTATTGTATAACTACTTCTAGTATATTAACATTATGGAACATTTTTTTTAAAATCAAAATGCTGATGGTTTGGGTTGTGTGTTTACGACCGCCAATTATCATGTGATTTATCCACGAACCGAAATACGACCTATCCAATCTTTTTACTGTGCCCAACCAACGACGTTTGACTGGTATGAACAGCCTAATGTCTTTATTGGCCTCTAGTTGACCTAGCCCGTCCAGATGAGCCCGAAACTCCAATAATAGCTTCCATTATGCGAATCATTAATTTCAAAAATACTTGGTTTATTTACTAGCCAAACAGACCAAATCACACCATAAAATGAGAAATAACATTTACACAAGATCAGGCCAAAACGTGGTTGTGGATGTAGGAGACTGTAATCAATAGACTGAACATAATTTAGTGACAGTAAATCGTATAATAACGAAGTTTATCATAAGAGGAATATAGATAAACATAATCTAGTTAATGAACAGTCATATAATAGGAATATATATATATATATATATATATATATATATATATAATATTAGTTCATTAATAGATCTCAGAAGTTACCCGTAGTTCAATCTTTACTTGCATATAACAGTTTGTATTTTACTTGGAGTTATACCATAAACAGATTATCCAAATATATGATATAGAATAGTTTAGAAATAACATGATAGGTGAGAATTACCATGCATTAATGTACGTGTGTTACATATGATTACGTAACATTAAGAAATATGTTTCTAATACATCTTTTATCTATTTACTCGTAAAAATTCATAAGAAAAAAATCTAGTATTAACAAATTAGAACAACAATATTAAACAAGTTTTGTTGAACTACCAATAATAATATCTTAGTTTACATTAATGAAACTGAAAAAATGATCAGTTCGTTACACTGAGATTTTATTTTTAAAAAATGTAAAAATATCCCTACTAGAATAAAACAGAGGTTCAATACTGTTTTAGTCTTGAACAGTTGTCTAATTGTGGTCAGTTCCCAAATGTAAAACAATAAATTAGCAAGTACATTTATGTCAAGAAATATATAAATAAATAAATATGTATATTTAAAACAAAACAAATGATTTCACATTTTTATTTACCTTTTTCACAATAGAATCCCATGTATTAATTGGTTTTTGACTAAATCCAGGCATTCTAATTCTTGGCTGAAGTGTTGTCTTAAATGGGTATGAAACTGGATTGACAAATTTATTATTTCCAACTTTAAAATCAATTTTCTTTGATGAATTTTCAATTCCCACTAATTTTTCATTTTTTAACATTATATTAGAAGATGAACTAATATCATTTATCACATTGGTCCCTAAATCTATAACAAAATTGAATACACATATAAAGAAATATAATGATAAGTGATAATGTTAACATTTGGAATATAGTGAACTTTATTGTATTGTTGGTATGTTTTGTTGGATTGAACTCTACTTTCTATATCTGGTCATCGCTAATTGTTGTATCAGAAAACACTTATCACTTATACTCGAAACGAGGGACCTCTGCATGTCCCATGACGTGAAAGTAAGGATACAAAGACTAGTATAGGTGAAGATTTATTAACGCCAAAAAAACACGATGACGGCGATCCTAGTCAAAAATATACTCATTTATATATTGATTGTACACACACTTTGATTAATAATTAAGATGAAATCACATATAGGAAAAATACTCAGTTATAACAAGTCACTTGCATGAGCATAGTTCATGTCAATTGAATACAAGAATATCGTATATTATACAGAATAAAATATCATACGAGAAAAGAAAACAAATACAACATTGATTAATCATTACATTGAATCAAAACGGAAGTACTATTGAACAAAACTCATAATGAGTAAATCAATCGAAAATTGACTTTTCTTTCCATCATAATCAATTGTATTGTATTGTATGCACTAAATGGATGAGTGAAGATGGGCATGACAAGCTTATTTTGTAATTAGTTTTCGTTATTATTTACATTTATTTTGTTAATTTTCACAGTTTATACATTTACCATAAAATGATTGTACATGTTGTGTGATTGCATCACCTTGAACACACTTTCTTCCATTGTGTAACATTCATAACATGACACACACTATTAACTGCTCATAAATACACTACTATACACACGTCTCTCATTCTCCATTACCTGTGGTTATGATAACTGAACTATAAATCACCTACTATCTACATTTATAGACTGCAGCCACATTTACATTATATTCTACGTCTGGCTATACATATTGGAGCCAAAACAACCTCACTGGAATTATTAATTATCTATAATTGTGGATTCTGGTGCCAAATGCAACTCGAATACGTAACGTCCCTTAACTTTTATTTGTGTTTATAACTTATAATATATATTATAACATTAACATTTGGACGTAATAACTATTACTATTTTTGAGTTAATATGTTTTTATATGTACAGTAGTGTATTTATGAGCAGTTAATAGTGTGTCATGTTATGAGTGTTACACAATGGAAGAAAGTGTGTTCAAGGTGATGCAATCACACAACATGTACAATCATTTTATGGTAAATGTATAAACTGTGAAAATTAACAAAATAAATGTAAATAATAACGAAAACTATTTACAAAATAAGTTTGTCATGTCCATCTCCACAGATGTTCTACTGAAGGTTGTAACAATATCACCTTAATATAACATCAAATCATTAGTTTTCAACTATGGGCATTGTTGTATAGTTGAAGCAAATAATTTAAATTTAAACGTTTACAGCTTTAATATCCTTGATATTTTTATATTTGATATTTAATTTCTTTGATTATTTCAGTAATCATTACTGTCTTACTAAGATATGGATTTCTTGAGTATCAAACCGAGTATATAACCCATACAGATTAGATGTAAAAGTAAATATTCGACACTGATACTATGAATTAACTGAAATTTATAGCGCCTATATAGTATTTGAATTTGAAGTCATTGTTAACATATGCACAACATATACCTGAAAATCCATCAACTTAGTTTCGATGCTGTTACAGATGAACAGTTCAAACAAAAAAATCCTTTGAAGTGCTTCCTGACTTTATGGCTGATGTCATTTCATGATGAATACAGTTTTCAAAGTATATTTAATTGTCGAAATCATGAATCAATTGAAGCTAAACCACCATGGAAAACCTGGAAACATTGGACGGCCGTCTCGTTCTAGTATGGGATTCCTCAGCAGTGAGCATCCACGATCCCGCACCCCGCAAGATTCCAACCCAGGATCTATCAGTCTCACGCGCGAACGCTTAACCATTAAACCGCCGAATCAGCATCCAACGGTGTTAATGTCTTACTCCAACTAATCCACGACCATCCAGTGCTTCCAGGTTTTCCATAGTGGTCTAGCTTCAGTTGACTCATGATTTCGACTATTGAAATTACCGAAATCTCCACAAAACCCCTTCTGATATATTTAATTGAATGATTATTAAATTAATTATAGAAAAAATTATATATGTTAACAGACAACTTGGTAGATTCATTCTTAAAACTCAGTAAAAACAAATAATCAACATGTAGTGTGAAGCTATTCCACCATGCGATCGAGTAATTCCAAACACTAAAAAACGCAGCATTGATGGTAAACTTTCAGAATAGATTTTATTTATGATAAGAGTTTTCGTATCGTATCACTTAAGGATATGTCTTATGTTAAACACAGACTATTCGTAATGTGATGAATTGCTCTAATTGGGTTTGTTATGTTTTTAAATTCACAATTATTAATGTCTCCGTTATTGTTTTACAGAAATTAATGTCATAATCAAAGGTTTTAACTTAAAAGAGTAGATACAGATTTAAAGTCATAAGTTATTCAGTCAATTGTTGATTCATTTTTCTGTCCATTTTAATACTTCATGTCTTTTTGTCAAAAGAATTTATTTAAATTTTCTAGTATAAAACAGAATAGTTTTTAACACCTTGTATTGATCCGGTACTATGTAAAATTAGATAATAATAATGACCAAGATAAACTAAATTCATTACATAGAGCCCATATAGGTCATTCTAGCTTCTAAACAGACTAATTTATCCATGCTTCTGAAGCCACATTTTGAACTTGTTGATTATTCGTTTATTAACCTTGACTATTTTTATACGATCGTATGTGTGTTAATTGCTTACCCTAATCATCACGTGTCTGTAACTTAATTTTGGTTTGACTATAGATATCGAGTTATGCTTGATTGAATAGAATTGGCTCACCCGCCTTCTCCTCTGCGTGTCGCTTCGTCCTTCGTTTTCCCAATGGCATTTTCCGCTTTTTGCTTCTTTGTTTCCTTCACATTGTTTCTTTGATCGTCTGTCTAGATTATTGAGTGTATGAAATTTAAGTATTCATAATTCAATCTCGTATTTCGCCTATTTTATCCCGTTATCCTCTAACAAGAATTAAGTCGATAAAAACATATGAGGGTTGGCGGCATTTATATTTCAATAATCATCATCAAATGATCATACTGGAGACCAGTATTGTGCCACAAGAGTTTAATACTTATCCCGATATAGCAAATTCTTTCTTCAACTGTTGTTATTGTAATAAACATTTTCATAAAGACGCCTTTTTGAATAAATCACTTACTTATCCAACTGACAAAATATATATGCCTAATGTAATGTACGATTTATTCAGTAATATTATATTGAAAACTGAAGTGAGTAGAAAATAAGAAGTAAGGATTAGAACAATGAATATATCATATGCCAAATTTCATGACAAACAAAATTTCAATAAAATTGTTAAAAGCCAGTTATTCTTTCATTAATAATTTCGGTAAGAAGAAAATAGGTTAATACTGATAACTTGAACTAATCCAAGTATGTTTTTCTCAATGTTTTTTTTATTAAGAGCAAAGTTTAAGCTTTTCTTTAAATGTAATATTAATATTATTTTAACGAGTTACTATGGTAAAAAGATGAATAAACGGGAAGAGAAATTGTACAGTTTATTTAGTTGTACATGTATACTCAGTCGGTATAATCCATATATATATACGTTGACTGAGCGACTAAACTCACACTTGTATCATTTTCTAATATCTTTAACTATCATTTTCATGTCTGTTACTATAGTGACTGAGAAACTAAATGAATAGTTAAATAAAATTTGTGCTTTTGTTTTTTTCCCTTTTATCTAAAGTCTTTATTTATCAATGTAAGAAGAAGTTAACTTATTATGAAATACTTGTTATTTCATAATCTACTTAAATTTCTTGATGGTATCAATGTCCATTGCTAAGTAGGCAGAAAGGTATTTCTACTATTGATTTGTATACGTTTGTTTGTACGCGTAAGACAACATTAAGAAGGTATAAATGGAAGCAGATGAGAAGAAATATTTAGTCCTATAGACTGATAAATTGCACAATACTCAGTGTGAAGTATAGGCAAGATATAAGAATTTAAATAACACTTTCTAGTTTCATGTATATGTTAACTAATATCAATTAAGTGGTTATGGGTATGGGAAACTTTAAAGGTATATGATTAAACACTTACAGAGTTAGCCTAAATTATTTGGGTATATAGCTGGTGATCAGGTGTTTAATATACATAACCTAGGTGAGAGTGTAATAAGTTTATTGATTGTCTTAGATAATAAATAAATACCACATATGAGTTTTTTTTTAAATTAAAGTGTTTTGAGTTTGCTTACTGTATCATTATGATTCATACAGTATAACCTTTGGTACTTTTGATCACATAATAGGTAGGCAGACGTAGCATGTATTAGTAACCTTGATGTTTAAATCAAATTATTAAGTCCATTAAACCAGTATCTAATTATATCTTTTATCTTTTATACAACTACAGTAACAAAACATCATATCAACTAAGTTAGAATACCAAATACTTCATAATTTTCAAGTCATAGAAAATATTTTTACCTTGAATTTTACATGACAATTTATTATTTTTCTCAGATAAACTATGCATTCCAAAGTATGGATGCTTTAGTAATTCAGCACAACTCCATCGTTCTGAAGGATCCATTCGTACACAAGCCTATTGACAGGAGAAAAATTATTGTACATTAACTAACTTATTTACTGCTCTGTGTTATGACAACAAAATCATGCATTGATAACCACCGCCTACAATAAAATTTTCATCAGTTGCTTAAGATACTTCAAAATAAATCATAAAGTAACTGAGACTACATTTGTTCAAACAGTTTCTTATGATTTCCATTGTCGAAATGATGATAACTTCCAATGATTGATTACTGAGTGATGACCAACACCATTTCCGTTGAGTTCAAAAGATTGAGAGGATTCTGTCTATCAAGCCGGTAAAGACAAGTAGTTTTAGTGACTTGACCTGCCTGCATTGTGTTTGAATGCAAAAAAAGGATTGGATAATGGAAGGTCTCCCTTCGAATGACTTAAGCCAACTAACTTATCGGCAATATCGAAAGTGCAAATTGAGAACATTTTGTTCATCATAACAAATTTTTCCATTAGTGATTTTTTCGTCAGTATCAAAACTCAGATTGAAAGTTGACAGTTAAAATACTTAACATTTTTTAAAGGAACTGAAGCATTTTTTTAAATGGATGATACTTCTTTTTCATGGAGGCAAAACACTAATTATTACTTTTCTTGACACAGAAACCCGTGTCAAAACTCTCCAGTCTATCCGTAAATGATATCAATTTAGCCTAATATCCCATTAACTCATTTAGTATTGATGTATATGATAACAAAAAATGATATGTATCACAAATCCTGCATATTTACTGACGGACTTTGGCTCCAATTCCACCGGTAATATATTTCAGATGGATAATATGTAGAATAATCTCTGGAATGTAAACTAGTCAGTCATTATTCAAACAAACTTGTTAATTACGTATCATAGTCTTTAATTTGTTTTCATAATAGTTAACCAGCCCAGTTTACTGGAAGCGCCTCTTTATAGTATGTTACCTACTTCAAATAATCACGTTATAACACAGAAAATTAAGTTTATTACATAATAATGATTCTAACCTGTAAAAAATCCAATTCTCTTGGACTTAGAGTCAGGGGATAAGTTCTTTCAAACCGTTTCTCTAGTGGCTCCTAAAATCAAATAATGTATAAACACGAAAGATAATAATAGTTGGTTTGTAGAGCTAAAATATCAGTAATTCATGTTTAAAACATTAAAATGACATTGATTTCTTCTTGATATTAATGATTACAAAAAAGAAATTGATATACAGTTTTCTGTTCGAATTTATTTATCATTATAATATGACTTTTAGTTTATTCATAAATAAAGGTAATATTAAGGCAATACGCACAGTATGCACATATGCCAATAAGAGACTGATCAATTAATCTGGGTTCGAGTCCCAGAGTGAGCATCAATTATGAGATGCAAGTATATCCAGCTGACAAGTCTCAAGTAAGACGAAACGCTCATCCTGGATTCCACTGCTAGCCACTATCCATCTTTGCTTATAAAGTTTAGTTTTGTTTGAAGTAAAGATTAATTAATTCCAGTTTGATATTACATTTCACGTAAGCGCTTGAAAAACAAATAAATTTTTAAACCTAAAGGATTTTTCATTGGAACTAAGTGAATTATAAGTACATTTACGTTAGTTGGTTATCAGTAATCTTAATGAAGAAATTTATTTGAATACTGTGCTGGTACTGACATAAAAAGAAATAAAACTACTGAAAATTAGAACATGTATATAATTTTAAATTGATTACTGATGAACCCATGACTGTTATTATTTTTCTAGAAGGTTTGTGTAGATTTTTCTAGTACTGTTTAGGGGGGAGGGTAATAATGAACTAAATCCTAAGATTCATTAGTAGTATTTAGTAATTTTGAATATAAAACTCATCTATATTATATAGAAAAAGTGACATCATATATTTAGTAACTTTAGTGTTTTGGTTGCAGGTAGGGATCTTATCAATTAGGTAAGTCGTACAAATATGGCTTGAATTATTTGATAAAATTCAGAGATAATCATACTTATGATAGCTTACTGTAAATTAACACTCATTAAACGAAGTTCAATTCGTAAAATTTACTACTACTTGCATGAATGATTTTTTTCAGTTCAGTAAAAAATATAGAATATTATTTAGAAACTTACCACAGATGTTGAAGATGGGACTTGAATACCAGCAAAGTATTTACTTTGTTCAAATATTTGACGGTGTCTGGGATAAAGATCACCTGAAAGATAGTGAATAATCTAAATCAGAAAATTAAGTCAGATTTAATAAAACTTTCAGGGTAAAGTAGATACCTGTAATATATTTTAATGGAAATAGAAGCTGTTCAGTTTAATCTGAGCAGTTTATCAAGTTATTACACCCAAAATGATTTCACAAACCTTAATCACCATGTAAAAGATGTTTCATACTGATTCAGTATTAGTCAACTTACCTGCACGGTCTAACAAATACAGTGATTTTCAATCCAAAATCATACTACATTTGACTAGTTATCACCAAACTTGCAACAATTAAATACGAATACATATAAGCTGCTGTTACCGATGATGAAATGATAAAAAATCTATAAATGTTTTTTGTAATTTGAGGTGGTCTAAGGGATATATCATTAAAAATAGGTTTATGCAGAAACCAAATTTTAGTGACAAGATCAGTATGAAATTCATACGTAAAATCACTAGCATTCAGTTTTTAAGATTTTCGGAACCAAATTCATGTAATCTGGATGTCCCCAATTTGTGACGTTGGGCTTAAGCGTGTAAACAGTATATTTTTGACGTTTCATTTACTACCCTGCTTTTCTCTCGTTTATACTGTTGGTTTTAAAGTAAGTATCAGCATATATTTTCATATCTTTTTTATCTCAATTGTTTACTAATTTATCGGTTTATTTAAACACATAAACATTGGTACAAGAAGGCACCAAATATATATGTTCCACATTTCGTCATTCGATTTGTGCAAAGATTAAAATAATGTCCGGGAGCCCAAACCAAAGTAGGTGGTTTTCTTAGGGGTTCACACACTGATCCTTTGACGTAAAGGTCTAATCCAAAAGTCAGTGAAGCAACGTTAGAAGATCCAGTCCCATGGTGGCCGGTGACCAACAATAGGTTCATACGCTATTTGCTCTTTCAGGATCATGGAGCCCAATGTGAATCATTGATTTAGAATCAGGGTTTTCCAATCCCTTAGGTGGATCGTCCGTATCCATCAACCCGGTTAATCAGCCAGACATTCACTTTTCATCCTCTCAATTTCGTAAACAACATCATCACCTCAAGAAGACGGTGAGTAGGACTTCCCTGGCAGTGACTGTATATGCGTTACCATGTGAGAGCATTTCAAGAGAAAGAGCTGACACTCTACATCCCCGAACGTACGAGAGCATTTATTCAAACCGATTAAGAAATATGTACGAGTAACAAATAAAAATAAAAATGAATCAGCGATATATCCATTATTCCATCTTTATATTAATAACACTATGAAATCTATTGAAAACTAATTAAATATCATTGTGGTGTTATAAAAACTAATATTATATCCAAATTAATGTATTACTGTTGACTATAATATACAAGTCATAATTAGACTATTGTACTTATAATCTATAGTCAAGTATATAGTATCATACATGTTTTGTTTGTTTGTTTTTTTTATTTTCACAATGGACAAGCATTTACTGCATACCATATGTACATACTTATATTATTATTGAATTAAAAAATGTATTCCAAACACTTTTTACTTTAAATGATAAAGATGACAAAAATAATAAAGAAAAGCCTTTTTTTTCTATTAAAACTTCTGTCTAACTATGAAAATCAATATATTTTTTGTTACTATGATGGTTTTTTTAAAGGTATGTAATGTTATTTCTTTTGAACAATTTTTTTTAAAAAAATAACGTTACATTTTATTTTGATGGTTGTTATAGTATCGAAATTAAAAGTTTTAAACAAAATAAAAGTTATTTAACTAATCTGATTTCTAGAAAGTTAAAAAAGAAATCTATCTGAATAAGTTAACAATCATAAATACCACATTATAACAAAATAATTTAAATTGTACACATATTCTTTATCATGAATTATTTGATGAAAGAAGTTTGATTGGTTTTAGTTAGTCAGTATTAGTACTTAACAATTTAATACTTTAAAACTTACTGAAACCAATGAAATGACATATAATGATGATTTTTGAATAATATACATGACTATTATAGTTACATTTAATATACTGGATAAAATATAGAAAAAAACAGGTAATCAAAACAATATAATGTGTATCTGCTCTGTAAGTGTTTGAGTAAGTGTCTATCAGGAATCAATAGCTTAATGGATTACACATTTGAGGCGGAAGGTACTCGGTTCGAGTCCCGGAGTAAGTATCAACCAATCTGACGGGTTTCCAATAGAACAGAAAGAGTTTTATAGATATCTCTGCAAACTATAACATATCTCTTCTATAAAATATATGTATTTTGAATCGTAATATTTAAGTAAAACAGTCGTTTTTTTGAATATGATGCATCGTACATGAGTAATATACTTGAAAATGCACTTAAATGCTAAACGTAAAAAGTTCAATCACAGATAACACGAAAACCTAAGTATCATCACCTGGTAAGTCCCAAATAGAGTTTCTTAGTTTTTATTAGTAAGCCCTATAAGTATATATATATATATATATATATATATATATATATATATATATATATATAATTTAGTTTTGTGTTTACAACATCCGTACACGTAATAATTCTTTGGTCAAAGTGAACTTTGTGAAAAATTATCAAAGATAAATAATCTCAATCATTTTGTGCATTCATAAGAGTAGTAATTTCATGAAATGGAAACAGGTAGAAGGTAACATATTTATCTAGCGTAAATATACAGTATCTGAAATAAAAACATGAACCGGAGTGACAGAAACTATGTTAGAAACTTAAGAATGTATCACTATTCCCCTCCTTAAATTACTTTTTATTTATGTCAACATATTTTCCAGATTTTCATTTTATTTGTTTTAAATGTTTTTGTTTTCAGATTTCACACTTATTAGACGCCACATTGTTTCACTTTCTATAATCTCTCCCGTTCTCTAGAAGTTATACCAATAAAACCAAGATATAAGAGGTTGATAGTTGCCCGTAACTTGAATATTCAGTATCTTAGTTTATGTATATGTTGGAAAGACCTTGTTTATAAAATTTCTGAACGATATTTAAATGAAATAGTAGACTTGATGTATAATCCCGAAAAAAGCAACAATCATTCGTAAAAATGGTGACAATAATAACTGTCAGAGGCAACATGATAATCTGATAACAGAATGGAAATATTGTTGACAAATATGGTAGATAGTTGTTTTAGAAAAAATAGGAATACACAGTTTGGTATTGTTTAAAAGGCAATAAATTTGAAACCATTATTGAAGTGAACTACAAACAATGAATTATTGAACTTAAAATATGGGAGGCGAATAACAGATAATGATAAAATGTATGCGATAGAAAAATGCAGCAAACACTTATCACGGAAGGCCCAGGACAGGGTGAGTTGGAGAATGCTGGTCGGCGACCTTATGCTCGATTGGTAGTAACAGGCGTAAGTAAGTAAGCTATATATATATATATATATATATATATATATATATATATATATATATATATATATATATATATATATTGCCTAATAAAAATGTATCATTAGGACTGTATGAAATACTATTTAAATGATAAATTTGACATGGTAATGACCAAAGCAATGTAGAATGTCATAATGGATTTAGGTTTACAAAGACGTTTGAAACGTTTCTTTTAACATTATCATCCTATTCATTTAAATACCTTGACTCATATAATTCATTGATTGTACACGACCTATGTTTCAATTTCTTAGACTAATAACATTCACAATTACCCTACCGTTAATCACTGAACACCGAAAGTTTTATTTACTTACTGACTTGATTAATAAAATATTGTAAGCAAATCGTTACCTATAAAAGATTGCCTTCTTATTCTTAAACACAGTGTATGGCCTCTGTGGTAGATTTGCTAATAAACAAATTGCTTTGCTAAAATATTTACTCTGTAATTTATTAGGTTTAGATTTAATATGAGTAAAATGGACATAGAATTTTTCATAAAATTTCAACTGAATCGCTCAGATTCAGTCATCTAAAAATAACATGTGAAGTTAATGTATGAAAATTATTAGTGCTTGCATAATTACAGATTACTGGAAACTCGTAAACTATGCGAGAGAAAAACTTTGAACTGATCCCTAGTTCACAATGTTGTGATGTGCAGAAAACTGTTTGCAAACTACAGTGTCCACTAAATTTCTCTGCATACCGTACTTTTTGATTAATAATAGAAGTGAAGATAACGTTTCTCACAGTCGAGAGTAGAAAAACCTTATTCAGTGTTTTATTCACTACATTTTTCAAACAGCACATTTATTAATGCATGTGATGTATCTTAGGTTAGACTTTATTTTGGATTAGGTACTTCAGATTTGGTAGGCTTAATGATTAGGGCCGTGTAATCAAATATATCCTATTTACCAATAAACATTTCTCACCCAGATTCTTCGTTATAAGATAAAGTTGATCCAAATCAGAAGAACCTGGCCATAAAGGACAACCAAGTAACATTTCTGCAAATACACATCCGATTGCCCATACATCAACCGGTGGTCCATATTGTGTATCTCCAACTAATAATTCTGGAGATCTATACCAACGTGTTGCTACGTAATCAGTGTATTCACCACCAGGACCTGTAATTTTTTAAAAAAAGATTTATTTAACGCAAACTTTGAAATCATCCTTAAGATGTTTGATTAGTAAAGAATAAAATAAAACAGCTTTTATAGGTCTTCCAACTGAAATACTGATACGACGTTAAAGACTATAGTCTAATAATTAGTCTGTCATTCTATAGGCCTCGTAAATGAATTACGAAACTTCCTATTTCACAATAATTTGCTATTGAAATCATTCGTTATTATACGTGTTGTTGTTTTGAAATATATTTCATATAATTGTATCTTTTTACTAGAAAAATTTATCCTTATTGCCGATAGATTGTCTATTTATCAATTCTTTATTTACTCGGTGACTTCAAGTTTATAGTTCTATTTATTATTGGTAATTGTCAATCGGTTATACTTCCCACTATATTATGGAGGTTGGTCGTAGTCTACACAACTATACAATATGTCTCCTTTATAATAGTCAATAACCGATGACACTATTAAACCATTATTCCTTTTGAATTTATTACTCACCAAAATTTCAGTTTTCTAACTAAAAGCTATATACCCAATATTAAGTGTCGACTTTAGTACATCTTTACAGGGACATAAATTGAGTTTATCTTTTGCCGACAATAACTGGTTAGCTTGATTTTTTTCGTGACTGGTTGGTTGACTTTCTAATTATAAAAAGAGAATTTTCATATAAATGCTTATAAAATTTATGCGAACTTTCTTATGTATAAAGACTTATCTAACATTAAATGCTTTGAAGATGACAAATGACAACAACGACTAGCTTCAGGGGAGCTGCTGTTATACTCCGGACATGAACAAGAAAATGCCCCACATACACAAGGAGTTGCATTGATGCTGTCCAAACAAGCACAAAATGCACTTATAGGATGGGAATCTCATGGACCAAGGATCATCAAAGCCTCCTTCAAAACAAAGAAAACGGGGATTACAATGAACGTCATCCAATGCTACGCGCCTATTAACGACTACAATGAAGACGCTAAAGATCAATTCTACGATAAGCTGCAGTCAATCGTCGAGAAGTGCCCAACAAAAGACCTGACTATTCTGATGGGAGACCTAAATGACAAGGTTGGAATTGACAACACCGGATATGAAGAGATCATGGGACGACATGGACTGAGAGAAAAGAACGAAAATGGTGAGAGATTTGCAAATCTATGTGCCTTCAATAAACTGGTCATAGGCGGGACTATATTCCCACATAAACGCATACACAAAACCACATGGACTTCACCGGATCACACCACACAGAACCAAATCGACCATATCTGCATCAACAAAAAGTTCAGGAGGACGATGGAGGACGTGAGAACAAAGAGAGGAGCTGATATAGCATCAGTTCATCACTTGCTGGTCGCCAAGATGAAATTGAAACTCAAGAGGCACTGGACAACGGGGAGGACAATATCACAAAAATTTAATACGTCTCTTCTTCGGGATAATGACAAACTCAATAAATTCAAGATAACCCTCAGCAATAAGTTCCAAGCCTTTCATGATCTACTCAATGGAGAAGAAACTACTATGGAGAGCAACTGGAAAGAGATAAAAGAGGCAATCACTTCAACATGTCATGAGGTTCTGGGCCAAAAGAAGCACCATCACAAGGATTGGATCACGGTTGATACACTGGATAAGATTCAAGAAAGGAGGAACAAGAAAGCAGCAATCAATACCAGTCGAACAAGAGCAGAAAAAGCCAAGGCACAGGCTGAATACACAGAAGTAAACAAGCAAGTGAAAAGGAGCATCAGAACTGACAAACGTAAATATGTGGAAGATTTGGCATTGACGGCGGTAAAGGCTGCCAGAGAAGGAAACATGAGACAACTGTATGAAACAACAAAGAAACTCTCTGGAAATCACCGTAAACCAGAACGACCAGTGAAAAACAAGGAAGGCAAGATAATCACCAACATTGAAGAACAACGAAACAGGTGGGTAGAACACTTCAAAGAACTCTTGAATCGACCAGCCCAACTGAACCCACCCAACATCGAAGCAGCACTCACGGACCTCCCAATTGATGTTGGCCCACCAACAATTGAAGAAATCAGCATGGCTATCAGACAAATCAAGAGTGGCAAAGCAGCAGGACTAGACAGCATTCCAGCAGAGGCACTGAAAGCAGACGTAGCGGCAACTGTAAGGATACTCCAAACTCTCTTCAGAAAGATCTGGAACAGGTACCAAAAGTCTGGAAAGAAGGACTTCTAGTCAAAATACCAAAGAAAGGCGATCTCAGCAACTGTGACAACTACAGGGGAATCACTCTTCTTTCAATACCGGGAAAAGTCTTCAGAAGGGTATTGTTAAACAGGATGAAGGACTCCGTAGACGCACAACTTCGAGACCAACAGGCAGGATTCCGTAAGGATAGATCGTGCACAGACCAAATCGCAACTCTACAGATCATTGTGGAACAATCAATTGAATGGAATTCATCACTCTATATCAACTTCATTGACTACGAAAAAGCATTTGATAGCATGGACAGAACAATCCTATAGAAGCTTCTTCGACACTACGGCGTGCCTCAGAAGATAGTCAATATCATACAGAATTCCTATGATGGATTAAACTGCAAAATAGTGCATGGAGGACAGTTGACAAAGTCGTTCGAAGTAAAGACCGGTGTCAGGCAAGGTTGTTTACTCTCACCCTTTCTCTTTCTCCTGGTGATCGACTGGATCATGAAGACATCAACATCTGAAGGGAAGCACGGGATACAGTGGATAGCTAGGATGCAATTGGATGATCTAGACTTCGCAGATGATCTGGCTCTTCTATCGCAAACGCAACACCAAATGCAAGAGAAGACGACCAGTGTAGCATCAGCAGTAGGTCTCAATATACATAAAGGGAAAAGCAAGATTCTCCGATTCAATACAACATGCACCAATCCAATCACAATTGACGGAGAAGATTTGGAAGATGTAAAAACCTTTACATATTTGGGCAGTATCATCGATGAACACGGTGGATCTGATGCAGATGTGAAGGCACGGATTGGCAAAGCAAGAGCAGCATATTTACAACTGAAGAATATCTGGAACTCAAAACAATTGTCAACCAACACCAAGGTCAGAATTTTCAATACAAATGTCAAGACAGTTCTACTGTATGGGGCGGAAACCTGGAAAACTACGAAATCCATCGTCCAAAAGATACAGGTGTTTATTAACAGTTGTCTACGCAAAATACTTCAGATCCGCTGGCCGGACACTATAAGCAACAACCTACTGTTGGAGAGAACAAATCAGATCCCAGTGGAGGAAGAAATCAGGAAGAAGCGCTGGAAGTGGATAGGACACACACTGAGGAAAGCACCGAACTGCGTCACAAGACAAGCCCTCATACGGAATCCTCAAGGTCGAAGGAGGAGAAGAAGACCAAAGAATACATTGCGCCGGGAAATGGAGATAGATATGAGAAAAATGAACAAGAATTGGATGGAACTAGAAAAGTAGGCCCAGGACAGAGTGGGTTGGAGAATGCTGGTCGGCGGCCTATGCTCCATTGGGAGTAACAGGCGTAAGTAAGTAAGTAAGTAAGTAAGTAAGTAAGATTTTCGAGATGTTTACTTGTTTACCTGTTTAACAAATCTTAATGATAAGTGATGATACTTATTAATCACTTCGTGGAAAGTGATAAAGATTTATAATTCTTGTTATATAACCAATGAAAATAAATATTTATCCGATCAGTATATTCATTGATTTGAACTACCTTAAATGTCGACAAAAACTCGTTAATAATTCATAAGAAGTTATTCCATCACTTTGAATTATTTACGTGAGTTAATTTCAGCAACTGGTTGTTCATTATTATTGTTTATAACTAAAAAAAAGATTATTGACAAACTTTTTCATAATAGAAGTTTATGGGAAATTACTTTTGCAACATTTTTTTGAGCTCAGTTGTTTACCAGTTCAACTTTTCAATATAAAAAGTACACTTTTTGAAGCATTATCTCCTACTGTACATTTATGATAAACATAGAAAGTTGAGAAAAAATATCATTACTACACTTCCGTAATATTTTATTTCAGAAATTATTGAAATCATCAACTGATCCAAATTAGACCACGAATGAAATGATGATCAACGATAATAAGGAATAAAAAAATATACGAAGAGGAGAAGAACAATCAACTTCCTTTTCTAGACATACTGATTATTAGCAGAGATGATGGCTCCATCCAACGTTCTATATGTAGAAAGCCAACATGGACAGGAGAATATCTTAATTTCTATAGTCACTTCCCAATTAATTACAAACGTGGATTAATAAAGGGCTTATTCAATAGAATCAATTGTATTTGTACTAACGATATTATTGAAGTAGAGGCGAAGCTCTTGACTGATACGTTGATAAATAACGGTCATCCATTGAAGTTCATAAACTGATGGAAGGGTCACAATACAATTAAACCTATAACGCTGATGGCATCCAAAGAGCGAGTTTACATTATGTCACCATTTAGAGGACACCCAAATAGTCTTATGTTGAAACAGAGACTTAAATTAGCCATCAACCGGACATTTTATGCAGCCCAACTTCTCATTATTGAAAAGACAAGGTCTATGTTTCACCAAAAACCCAAACAGCACGTAAACGATTGTGTCACATCTCATTGTGTCTATCAATTCATATGTATGTGCGGACACGTACATAGGGAGGAGCAATCGTGATAACTGACTCATTGAGGGTGGATGAGCACATATCAAAATGGCTGCAGAAACAAATGAATTCCAATTGTCAAATAAGATCAAAGGATAGATGGACATCCTTCATTCCGAAACATTTGATTGAGACTGGTCATAACGTTGATATCAAGTCAGCATTTCTAGTGTCATACAAAACCTTTCAACGACGTATAGTAAGGTTTATTGAAGCCTTGACTATACGGAATTTCGAAACCCTTTTTATGCGTTCAGATACAATTTGTCCTTACACTTAACCTACCCTGGTATTATTGATTTATTATCCAGAGTGATTATCATATTGTTTTGTGTACTTTAGCTTTTCCTTTGTTACGGCTGACCTTTAGCCTGTCTAGTTGACCTTTTAATTCTCATATAACAAGTATATGTGTAATCAAATTGTTAGAAATGTATTGCGCAAATATATCACATAATTCCTATAAACTTCATCTTCTCATTGCATTATGAAAATTTATCAAAGGGACTAATTGTTTTAAATAAAGTAATAAATAACCGATTTAAGTTGATCTTGACAGTCTTTGCTTCAATGGTTAACATTAATGTAAAATTTAAATGCAACATAACGATGAAACGGCTGTCCAGTGCTTCCAGGTTTTCCATGGTGGTCTAGCTTCGATTGACTCATGATTTCAACTACTAAATACTTATATTAATTATAGTAAGACATTAGATGGTAAGTATAAATCAATAGAACGATAATAAAGGAATAACTAAGTGGAAAAAACGTGAGACCCATCTGAACGTCATTAACAGCAGCTACGAACTTTATTACTACTCCTTAATGTAACCAACTGAATGTCATTATTCAAAATTTGCATTTACATCAAAATATACATGGTCAATAAATTTATTATTTGTTATCATAAATATGATAACAATTGTATTTTACATATGTTCAACAGATCTTATCAGTTCAAGTTTCCGCTGATATAGAGAATTAGCTAACCATCTCACTTCTGTATGTCGAAAATAAAAACCCTAAGAGTTAAAATGGGAACCGTTTATGGAAGGTCTAGGGGAGGCCTTTATATCTACGTTATACTTAGTCATAAAGAGAATGTATCTATATCTTTATATATTTGGATTCAGTATTTTAAAAAGAGAGTTAAGATTTTAATGAAAATACTGACTAAAAACGTATACCGCTTAGATTCGCCTCACTGAAAAGGTACACTGTGTGGATATCAACTGTAAAGGTAGGCTAAGAGCAGAAATGGTAAAGAGAAGGATTTAGAATTAGTTTTTTTCCAATAATTTTCAGAACATCATGTTATTTTACAGTGCTTTTATAAGTTATTCTGTTAATCTGTAGCTCGTTCCATCAGTCGTTCAATGAGAGTTTGAGAACATGATCTTGCATGATTGTAGAAAGATGGGGACAAATCAACTAAATGAATCACTCTTGTAACGTTTGTCATTAAAACAAACTAAAGCAACCGTTAAGACTTAAACTTCATATATCAAGTTAATCTATTATGATTTCCACTTAATTTTTTTGAATTTATCCTGTGATGTTTTTTTTCAATAATCAGTAGCTATCAAGTTCCTCTGGAATTCTTGATTAATTTTTTCAAGTCATTAAACGTATGTTAACAAAAAGGGGTTATTGTGGATAACATAGTAATTTAGTAGTTTCGATCATATGTTAATTGAATCTATACCACCACGGAAAACCTGGAAGCACTGGACAACTATTTCATCATATTGTGGGACTTCTCAGCAGTGCGCATCCACGATCCCATGAAGTTTGATAAACTGGTATTTGTACAAATGTATAATGGAAATTTCATGTATATTTTATTTTTTGATTTTATAGCTTTGATAATGAAGCCAATAAGAAGATATCATTTCACTGAATTACTCTTTATGCTCTTTAATGTTATAGTATGTTATATGTTTAAATATCACTTCATAAACTAAATAGTTATACCTAAAGAAAAAGACAGCTAGATAGATAAATGAACTGGAAACACTTCAGATTTGTATAAAGTTTTAACAACTGTAGTATCATGATGATACAAATATCACTAACCGTATACAATTTATTTAAACTAATAATTTAATAGTTGAGTTAATGAGTTAATTGAAGTTAGACCATCATGGAAAATCATGAAGCAGTGGACGACCGTTTCGTCCTAGTGTGGTACATCTCAGCCGTACACAACCACGATCCCGCACGGTTGAAGAGTTTCACACTAGGATGAAACGACCGTCCAGTGCTTCCAGATTTTCCATAGTGGTCTAGCTTCACTTAACTCATGATCTCAACTATTAAATTAGTATAATATCTACAAAAACTCCTTTTTGAGAATAAACTAATAACTCACTTAAAAACCTCGCAAATCCAAAATCACATAATTTCACTTCATTAGCTTTATTAATTAAAATATTTTCAGGTTTAATATCTCTATGTATACACTAAAAATAGAAAGTAAGAAGGAAAACAGCAACAGCAGAGAAACATTACAAAAGAGGCAAAATGAGAGTAGTTGATTTTTTTTTAAAAATACAAAAAAATAAAACAACGTCAGTTCATTAGTCTATTTTTAGACTAATTTTCTTAAAAAAAAAACTTTTTTTTTTCTTTTAAGAAAATAATTTACGTATTTTTTTCAAATAATAAAAAGTGTCAACCGGAAATTTATAACTATCTAATCAACACTTTAATTGACACGTCCATAAAATAGGTCAAATTTATATTAACTTAATGAATTAATAGTTTATATTAAGAAATTTAGATTAATTTTAGATGAACACAATGTGTTTTATTATTATCATTAGTAGTAGTAGTATTGCTGTTACTGTTATTTATCATGTTCAGAATAAACAAATTGTTATAAATGACATCTTTGAGTTTTCGATGGAGTTTTGTTCTCTGATCTGGATGGCTTGATCGTGGAAATTTTATTGTTCTTCTGAACGATATCATCAGTACAAACTTCAAGGAGAAATCTTTCAGTCAATTTTTAGGTAAAATTTCACAAAGATATTTAAACAAATAACAAAAGACTAGTTGTTTAATTTTTTATGGAATCAGTATTTGAAAGATTTTATGATGTCAATATTCTGTTTGAACCAGATGTTGATAATGTTTCTAGAACAATATTGAAAGTCTCACATTTCAGTCATCCAGTGCAGAGAAAATAAGATCACTAAAAGCATTCACCTAATCTACAATTTTGTTCCATCATTTTATAGGTATCATGTCGCTCAGATTAGTTCTTTAAAATCAACTGTTAATCTTTATTTGTGCGAAACATCCCGTTAAGAACTGGTTAGCTGAATGATCGATGGACAATAATTCGATTGGAAAAGTTTATAAATCACTGATGTCAATCAGTGAACCACTGAAAACTGGATAGAATTGTATACATTTTTGTTCCAGTTTGTAAGTCCCTACAATAGTGCTTAAAAATATTGTAGTCGGTGTATCCACTACAGCGTAATATTTAATAGCTAACTGGCTTACCTCAAACTGTAGTGCAAATCATCTTTTGGAATTATGCTATTACTCCCAGAAAAAACAATACCCATTAAAACTATCTTTTTGCAAATAAGCAAACAGTTGGTACACCAGTACTCTACAGATGGTGAATAATAGAAAGTAATAATTAACATGCTAAACTACACATCACTTTAGCATTTTCGATTCATTTGACACACTTTAAACGTGTATTGTGCCATATAATTTCTGCTTGATTGTCATTACTTTGTTTATTGGCTTTGAAAAAGCTGCTATATTGATGTTTAATAGTCAGCACTCAAATTTTATCGAAAAATCCCACTATCATTAGACTTATGCTAAATCTCAGTAATTTCTTATTTTCAATACACATTTGACCAGAACACTTGGAGATTTGCAACTTTCATGACTTTCTTTAAGTAACTAACGTTTTTAAACATGTAAACCAAATTGATATTTTACTTAACCTTCATAATGTTATGAAGTTAGAGCCAATTAGGTGGAAGCCTTGGGCCTAAGTTTTGTACTAAGTGAGACTAATTAGTTAAACAGATCAATAGCACGACAGAAAATTAGGATGTTACATTCCTTAGTTTGAATATAAACTTTACTCTAAAGTTAGTTTCTCGAAAGAACTAAAAAATATTAATCCACGATTATTTGAAACACGTGATAATGGTGACCAATGATAGATAACTTCGCAACTCTCAGGTTATAAGACTGAATGGGTGGATCATAGAAATTCCACTTCGGTTGATAAATATTTTATTTGTGTACTAATTAAATGATCGTCATAGATCGTCACATGTTTGAAACCAGAAATCAATTTCAAGTGATGAGAAGTTTTATTATTACAACCCTTTTCCTAGTGTTTCACATTAGACAGATCATAACTCTGTTAATAGATACTAAGTATCTTGTTTTATAATTTTCACAAAGATAAATCAGTATAAACTCATATTAAAATTTCGCTGCATCGTTATACAATTGTTTTAGACAGAAATCATATATATAAATTAACTTACGTTTGATTGATGACAGAAATCTGTTGCAAGAAGAATTTGCCATGTAATCTTTCGAATTTTCCCTTTATCCAACCTGAATATTAAACGAAAATGGTGCTTTAGGGAAAATGCCATGTATTGTTTATCTAATTAAATTCAATTTTCACTACAAACGTTTTGTACATTCAGAAACAGTCCAAGTAATTGTGCGAGACCAGGACTCAATGGCCAAAGGTCCGATTTCAGACAAGGTCGGTTTCACAAACTATTCTGTGTTTCAGTTTACACAAAGTTACACATGTAACACGATAAATAGAAACATGTTCAAGTTACTAACATTTATGAAAAATTTACACAGACGAAAGGCAATGACTAACCGTACATATGAATACATGCAGTATAACCAATAAGATTAAACTGATACATTCAAGATTCATCTTAGTATTCCTCATTTACCAATTTACATAAGAACTTGTCTCCATCTGTTACATCATTTCGAGATATCATTGTAAAATCGACTAAGTGATTATTGAAGCTAAACCATGGTAGGTGTGTCGCTCAATTTCGTGGATTGGTTGAAGTTAGACAATAACACCATTGGATGCCGGCCAGCTCAATAGTCTAGAGGTTAAGTGCTCGAGTGCTAAACTGACGGGTCCTGGGTTCGAATCTAGCGGGGGGCGGGATCTTAACTATTGAAAAAAATGTTTTTTTATTAATTTCCCTGTGTTTTTTAAAAAGAATAATTCATAGTAAGATTGTATCGTCAAATTTGTTTATTAAGGATTTTATGAATATTTATTCATTTTAATTAATTGGGGCGTTATTTTAAATATTTTCATTACGATTAGTTAAAATTTAAATCACGTGTACTTTATATTTGATTGTTGACATTTTTCCCCATTTTGTTATAACAATGTGGGATTAAGTGTTCAATAATCAACTATACATTTTTTTAAAAATAAATCATAAATTCTATTGATCAATCAATATTGACTGGATTTCATTTGAAAATAATAGAAGAAACTTATTGAATGGTATCTGACCTATAAGTGAGAGAATTAGAGTAAATCTTTGTAAAAAAAAGAAAGGAAAATGCTTATGTACTGATTGAGTGAGAATACCTCCCGATTACTTAATTATGATAGGTTCGATTATAAATCCATCACATGTTTACCAATATTGTGAACATAATGTTAAAGTACAAGTACTTTTATTTTATTTAATTCAAAGATGATTATACATGATAGATTTTTGTTAACTCTATTGACGAAGTTTTATTGATTCAAGTTTCGTAAATCTTTGTTAACTAACAGAATAGACATTAACGAACTTGTTTATTAATGTAGCTAAGATCGTTTTATAATCAAATATTACGATGATCATATGATATGTTTATCTGGGTCTGTTGTAATGAACGTAGGGCTTGGATTGATTGGATTGATTCACACTAATTTCATAGATATTATAAATAAATCCAACACGGTGAAAAAATCAATCACTTAAGCCGACAATATTAACAAAGATAGTAAAAAAACTCACAGGGAATATAAACAACAATTATCAATGAAACCAAGTAATAAATTAAAATAGTATTAAGATTCATAATTAGAGGAAGATGAAAAATGAAAAAAACCGTTGACCATCATCACCTGTGATCTTCAATCAATGATCATATTTCTCAACTAGACTCAAAATTTTAAAACTGGCGATTGTGAAACTGAATGCTATCACTAAAGGAACACTTGGTGATAAAAAAATTGAAACTTGGGTAAATTTCAGGAATTAATAATTATAAATATATTTTCAAGATCTATATATGAATAATATACATCTTTCAATTGCTTATTAGTTATTAGAATGGGAGTTTGTGGAGAATGTAATGATTTTAATAGTTGAATTCATGAGCTGATGTAAACTAGACCATCTTTAAAAACCTTGAATTACTGGACGGCAATTCCGTCCTAGTATGGGATTCCTCAGCAGTGCACATCCACGATACCACTCTAGGGATCCGAGCCCAGAATCTTCGATCTCGCGCGTGAACGCTTAACATGTAGACCACTGAGCCAGCAACCAACGATGTTGCCTAACCATTCATTCATTGTCAGAAGTAGTAATCTAGCCGATCCGAATCAAACTCCACTGGTCACAAATTCTAGGTTTTCAATTGTGGTCTAGCTTACATCGACTCATGAATTCAACTACTTATTGGTTGAAAAACTAGCTCATTATACTGACATTTTGTTGCTTCAATAATTAATTACCTAGGGTTGTTTAAATTTACTAATATTTACGTTGATTTAGAAGAAGGTATCTCTAGTCAGCGCAACAATGTAATAATTTAGAAAAATTGATTTAAAATGAACTTAGTTCTTTATACACTGTCGTATACATTATTCCCTAAATACATGAATGAATACAAGTTGAAGATGATATGCACTACACTGAATATCATTTAAGTGTTATTCTGGATGAAAAACTATCAGTTACACTTCGTATGCTGTTATCACTAAGATGTTTATAATTGGTTTTACAATATTTGTATTCAATTTGTGGTTAATTTTCTTCACAAGTCATAAGTTAGAAATGATGATGTGATTATGTTGTATCTGATCATATATACATTACATTTATAAATCTCACTTTCATATTTTACAAATCAAACATGAAGGAGTAAACTCACTTTCGTGGTCTTTGTTCCATTTCATTTAACAAAGAATTATCAATAAATTGGAATACCAAATTCAATCGTTTTTTCTTTCGAAATACTTCAATCAGATTAACTAAATTCGGATGCTTCAAACGCTACATGAATTATTTAAAAATAAGGTGTAAATGTAATGGGAAATTAATTGCCATAAACATTTGATTCATTTTGTATTGTTTGTCTGAATTTTTCCATTGATGTTTAGGATTGCTATTGATCAGTCTCTTATTAGCATTTGTGTATACTGTGCGAATTGCCTCGATATCGCCTTAAGTCAAAAGCATTATAGGCAACGATAGTTGTTAGCTATCAATGGAATCTATGCCGTGTTTCGTCCTATTTGGAACTCGACAGCTGAATGTGCCTGCATCTCAGAGTTAATGTTCACTCTGCGGCTCGACCCCGTTGCCGTTCGCTTCAAACGTCAACACGTTATCCACTGGTCTGTTAAGTCCAGATTAGCACTAGCTTGTTCAATGAGGTTAATTTTTAATTCATTTTGTATTGTTTGTTTGAATCTTTCTATTGAGTTGCGGAGTGAACATCAACTGTGGCTGCAGGTACATCCAGCTGACAAGTCCCAAATAGGACGAAACATGTATCCTGGATTCCAATGATAGCCACCATTCATCATTGCTTATAATGTCATAAAGATTGTTTAGTTTATTACATTATCAGAAGACAATAAATAAAAGATCTACTGTAATCTTTATTAATTCTTCAAATTGACGAAAATTTAGTCGAATTTCCCAGTTTCAAATTAATGTTTAGGTATAAAATTTCGATAACTAACGGCAAGTTTTAGTTCATGTACAACTATCCATAATCTTTGAGTCATTTGTATGGGATGCATATACAGACCTTTGAATCCTCTACCTTATAACTATGAATTTCTTGTAATAGGTGATGGTACTTTAGCTTTATTTTAACAAAGTGATCCTGTATGTAGGTAGCAAACTTCACTTACTTCCGATGGTGTCCAAAAGGAAAATGAAAAGTGCAGGACTTATCCTTCTAGCTCAGAGAACATCGCACTTTTTAAATCCTCGTCATGAGTTGGAAAAGTCTCCATATCACATAGCCCAGTACATAGTCTTTCGTCAAAATAACTGATTTCATTCTTTGAGTAAAACAGCATTGTAATGACTAATGTTTATAGTTTGAGATTGAAACAAGAGGTGTATCAACAGTAATTGCTGAAATACTAAGCTTTAAAAGTTTAGGAACGAAAATGATTTAAAGCACAGTTGTCATTTTCTTGAACATTATTAATAAATAGCGGGTGGTTACAATTAGATGAACCCGAAAGATGATGACACGCCTAATGACCTAAACATGCTGAGTGATATTTTCATTATAGACTATTTTAATTTAGTTTTTCACGGTTGAAATTTGTTTCGTGTAATTCCACCTTTGTGTTTTGACATCTTTGGTTTTTCTTAATAAACTACATGATTCAGAAAAGTCTATTACCGTTGAATACACTGAACAGGTTAGTGACGGTCTGAACTCAGTAACTCCATGGATAATATGTTAAGCGTTCGGGTCAAAGTGTACTGGAGCTCGAGTTTCACTCAGAATGCCAATACTGGAATACATATTCATCCATCTGGTGATCCCCAAATAAGATCAAACGTGTGTTCATTATTTCACCGCTAGAAGCGTACCAAATGTACGGAACTTTACAACTTAACTGAAATAACCTTTAGTGATGGGTATAGAAAACAAGCGAAATGAAATGCTACTATTCAAGCTAACAGTTATACAAGGTCGTCAAATGCCCTACACGTTACCAAACTATATAAACCTATCTTTACTTATTTAAAGTGAATGGTTTTATCCCAACATGAACAACAAATATATGGATTTCGTGCTCGATTTCTTCATGTTCCCAGACATATAAACTCAATCAAATAAATATTCATTGTGTTTACGACACACTCACAGTTACAAACTTGTTCTGACTCTACACGTAATTCAATCGTCCATTATTATTGGAGTAATTTCATAAACATTCATGATCACAAATTTTCTCATACAAAGACATAAAACAATCATAAATCAATCGCCCCCAAATGCCCTGGTACGGCCGAGAGTGGGGAGAGTCTGCTCTCCCTCTCGAAATGCTCTCACATGGCCACGCGTATATAGCTTCTGCCAGGGAAGTCCTATTCACTGCCTTCTCGCACCACCGGTGTTGTTTACGAAGTTGAGTGGACGAAAAGCGAATGTCCGGCGCTTTAACCGGATCCCAAACCAATGGTGCACATGGGCTCCAGTATCCTTAATGAACAAATGGCGTATGAACCAATCGTTGGTCACCGGCTACCATGGGACTGCATCTCCTCACGATGCTCCACTGCCTTGTGGGTCAGATGTTAAGGTCAAAGGCTCGGGGTGTGGCCCCTAAGAAAACCACCTGCTTCGGTCTGGGCACCCGTGCAGTATCACAGCCCTCACACAAATCAATTGAGATTCGTGTGGCGCATATGTATTTGGTGCCTCCTTGTACCAATACCTATATGTTAAAATAAATAAATAAAACAGTATGTTTTTCGGCATTTTCGTTTAAGGTGAAGTTTCAGTTTCAAAGAATTGACATGGTTGGTGATGCTAAATCAAGCAGTTAACTGAAACCTTAATAAAAGGTATATAACTGATTACCTATTATTATTCTAAATCTTTAGTTAACTCGCTACTATTTTGTTGACAGTAAACACCAGATTTTATTTGAGTATGTCTAACGGAAGTTATACTTCAGAGTTTTGGAAATGTGTCACATATTTATAATATAATTTAAACTAGAAGCTCAAGTTACAATGTTGAAACCAATTAAATTCTGAAAAACGATATGCTTGAACCATTCTTAACTGAAAATGAACTTATTATTCACGTATTATTCATAACAAATTGAGGTGATTATTTGATAAGAGAAGTCTGTTGCATGAACAAATATGATCGAATGGATGTCTTGAATTAAACTTTTGTATTACTTGAATCTCATTATTAGAGTGATATATTTTCAATATTGAAGGGATAGATTCTCTTCATTGAATTTGAATTTATATTATCTATTATCTGAATCAATTATGTCACCAATGAGTTAAGTCACTTTTGAAAAAAATATTTAAATAATTTTCAATAACTAAGATAGAAATTGACAGAACTTACTTTGAGCATACGAATTTCTCTCATTGCAATTTTACGAATAACTGGATCATCTTCAGATGCTGTAAACTGTTTAATTGCCACTAGTTGTCCTGATTTAATATCCCGACATTTAAATACCACACCATATGCTCCTTCACCTATCTTACATATTTTCTCATATTTCTTAAATAATAAATCATCATACTTTCTAATAGGTAAGAAGAAACAAATATGAATAGTTGAACGTAATCAAGAAATAACAATAAATCATTTTCAATAGTTGAAATCATGAACCGATTGATGTTAGACCACCATTGAAAACCTGGAAGCATTGGACGGCTGTCTCGTCCTATTGTGGGACTCCTCAGCAGTGCGCATCCACGATCCTGCTCATGGGATTCGAACCCAGGACCTTCAGTCTCGCGCGCGAACGCTTAACCTACTCGACCACTGAGCCGGCATCCAACGATGTTATTGTCTAACCTCAACCAATCCACGAAGTTGCGCGACCATCTTCCATTGTACTGAGATAGACACCTGTTTCTACCCGACACGACGTATTTTACATATGTTGCTATTCCTGCTTTGTTGATAATGATACAATAAAAATATAGAGTTCATTTGATCGTGCCCAAAATGTGTGATTTCCTATATCCTTACCTTAGACCAGCGTAAATATCATATATATATATACTCTTGTTTTTTTATTTTCATTGTTTTTATCAGTTTCGAGTTTAATTGCATATTTTCTTACTACTTACATGATTTATAAGTGTCAGTTCATTCATCTTGCCATGTACACAATATGTTTCCTCTAAATCAATAAATTTAGAAGTTTTGACTGTGGAAATATGAAGTTAATCATAAAGCATCATAGATATTGTATACTTTCTAAAATAATTACTTTTATTAATGTTATTGTTCACATTTTCTGGAACTCAAAACAACTGTAAACCAACACCAAGTCAGAAGTTTCAATACAAATGTCAAGACAGTCCTACTGTATGGGGCGGAAACTTGGAGAAGTACAAAACTCATCATCCAGAAGATACAAGTGTTTATTAACGGTTGTCTACGAAAAATACTTCGGATCCGTTGGCCAGACACTATTTGCAACAACCTACTATGGGAGAGAACAAACCAGATCCCAGCGAAGGAAGAAATCAGGAAGAAGCTCTGGAAGTGGATAGGACACACACTGAGGAAAGCACACAACTGAGTCACAAGAAAAGCCGTCACATGGAATCCTCGAGGTCAAAGGAAAAGAGGAAGACCAAGGTACAAATTGGTCCAAGAAATGGAGACAGACATGAGAAAAATGAACAAATTTTGATAGAACTGGAAAGGAAGGCCGTGGACAGAGTGGGTTAGAGAATGCCGGTCGGTGGCCTGCGCTCCATTAGGAGTAACAGGTGTAAATAAGTAAGTAATTGTCCGCAGTTAAACATTAAATATTGAACAAACAATTTATTATCGGAATCAGAGTAAATTACATTTTCAAAGTTTAACATATTAATTATCAAAATTTACTTAGAGATATTCACTTCGAATTTGTAGATAAACGTGATTTTTTCGGAATTAACAAGTATGGCAATCTATTATGTAAAATTTTGAAACACTTACTACCATATGAAGCGGTTTAAAATGCATACATCATTAATGAATGGTAATGTCGAAAGTCAAGTTAATGATAGATTAACTTATAATTAATATTATTAATGATTAACGAAAGATCATAACAAATCAATTTTCTAGGATAAATAGGAAGAAGATATTGTTCATTCAAGTGTATACCTCATTAATGTACCTTGTTTTGAATGAGTCTGAGAAAATACCATGTTGTTCTAACCATAATGATGAAACTAGACATTAAATTCAAAAATTACTGGTCTAAAAGTGGACTCTAACTATTCAGTAATCCTTTCATGTAGTGGCAACGTCAACGAGTACGATATGAAGATATTTAAAAAATATAATTATTCATACTTTAAAACCGATGATAGACTTATAAGGATAAATTCCTTACTATACAAATATTGAGAAAATACTTATCCATTGCATAATATGCCATGAAAACAATTAATTTGGTGTAAATTAAGATCATGTTGAAAAAACCATAACTAAAATCCTCAATTCATAGTCATACTTGAAACATAAAAAGTGATTGTAACACGTACAATGTGTTGTAACGAATCTATTGCAAAGGTGTAAGCTGCCCATGATGTTGCGTTTTATGAGCTGAATAGTTTAATTGTATACTCTTGAAGTAGTCAGAGTAATCGATGTTAATGTTTTCCAAAACAATTATGACAACATTTCAATCAAACGATACGGTCTAATGAACTTAATCAGGAAAAGATGCATATATATATTTATGATCTTTCTAGAATATTCACTTACTTCTGTTGTACATGTTTATTAATTGCAATAGGTTGAACTGTGATTAATTTAATCCCATCTCCAGAGTTATCTAATTTCTTTTCTCCATTCTGTACAAAATGTTCACAGTTATCAGTATTTGTATGAGATTCTGTTTCTATAAAATGAATAAACGAGTCATTAATTATATTAGTTTAATAATTTCGAGATACTTAATTCATGCAAAAATAAATTTTATTATCACAGAACTGATGTCAATTAAAGAACTATTGAAACCTAGAAAATCATGAACTGATGTTTTTTTTTGTTTTTACTAGTTCTATACTTTACAATGATGTACGATTATGATTTATAGTAGGATTTAACCTCAACGATCTCTGGATTTCAAGGATGGATATGTGGTGAACATACATATTGCCCATGATATACCAAAATTATTATATAAATCAATTTAATTAAATACAAATAGTTCAGATCATGAGTCAATTGAAGCTAGACCATCATGGAAAACTTGGAAGTAGTGAGCGGCCATTTTGTCCTATTGTGGGACTTCTCAGCAGTGCGCATACACGATCTCACCTCGCGAGACTCGAAGCCAGGACTTATCAGTCTCACGCACGAGCGCTTAACCTTAAGACCACTAAGCTCTACCGGCATCCAATGGTGTTATTGTCTAACTTCAACTAATCCACGAAATTGAGCAATACATCCACCATGGATATGCACTACTGAGGAGTTCCACAATAGAACAAAACAGCCGTTCAATACTTCCAAGTTTTTCATAATGATCTAGCTTTAATTGATTTATTTTCTCAACTATTGAATTTACTATAATATCCACAAAAATCTCTTCTAATACAAAATAAATAAATATTAAATTACCATCAGAAACAGTTGTAACAGTTTTTGTATCATCTTCTTGCATGTTATACAATATGACAAGTTGTTAATATGTTATAAGCTACATTTATACAAACAATGTGAATTGAAATGTTCCTGTTTGAAATATTATTTAGAATCTGTATGTAGAAACTGAAGAGAACTGTCTTCGTTCTTTTTTTTCGAAATGATTATCGTTTATTTAAATAATAATCTTTTTGAATATATAAGAGATCTTTAGAATGTTATTGTTATTATTACTATTAATGGTAATATTTAAATCCTTTTGTTTAAATACTATTGTTAACTTGTCCCAATTAATGAAGATTATTTTTACAAAAAATAAAAAATAAAATAAAATGAAAAATAAAATAAAATGAACTTTAACAGTTTTTTTTAATGATTTAATTGTATATGTATAGGTGGTATATGTATATGACTGTATTGTTCAAGAATAAATTATGAACTGTTAAAGAATCTGATTGTATATAGAATTTAAACATTAATTAATATAAACACTATGTATACATATCTATCTATCTATCTATTTATCTATATGTATATATATATATACATCACTCTTTGTTCAATATGTAAATCTCTTCCATTTTTACTTATTACAACAGTATACTTTTCTTCATTTTTATGTTATTTCATTGAAGAACAAACAAACAACAAAAAAAATAAAATAAAATAAATGTGAAGGGATGGGCGGGTAAATAAAATCATTGTAAATTATAATAATACCTATATTTCTAACCTGAAATTAATGACCAATAATATTTTGATTAGAATAGAATGAGAGACAGGTTGTCATGACCACGTAATTATTGAGTTTACTTTCTTGAAAGGAACCTATACATGATTACACGGATTGCTAGACTACATATAAATACACAATAATATAACATATTACTTATAAGAAACAAGTATTGGGATAGAAGAATTTAGAAGGTGAGAGGATTAAGTTAGACAGATGTTTTAAAGTATAATTTATAGATTTCGATCAAAACTCACCAGTCTGATTTAATGTATACTATAATAGTTTAGACCTATGAATGAGTACAATATGCATTTAAAATGTGTGTTATCTAGAAGCGTTGTAGTTAACGTTAAAATTTTTAAAAAAAATGTAATTCTTGTGCCAGCTTTTCCTCAACTATATTGAGGAGCACCATCTTTTGTAATGAAGTAAATGAGGGTGAAATATCACAGATGTTCAGTTACCAGTTACGTAAGTAAAGAGTTCTCACTCTACTAAGATCTCAAGTTCCGTTTTAATTAGCCCATGAAGTCACGAGAAAAGTTAAAATAATTATAAGGAAGCTTTTAAATGTGCTCACTAATAACTCGTGAAAAAATGTATCTTCAACATTTTAAAAAGTGATCTTACATTGGGGTTTTAAACTGCAAAATCATCCACCTTGTGAAATTAACCAGATATTCCGAGTTTCAGTTTAATATTTAGTTAAAGATGTATTTACAGTCTGACACAAAAAGCCACAGTAGAAATCATGTGTCAACTTGAAGAACATTATAAATATATAGAAGTACCTCTAAAAATCCATCTTAACTCTATAACGCTAACTGAAATGTCACCTTTATATTAGTAAATGATAACACAAATATAACTTGGCAAATTTGATTCCGTAACTGGATCAAAATCTAGAAAAGTGTTGTTTTGGCGCATGCAATTGAGATTTATTTTCAAATGAACGGAAGCGCTTAATAAAAATTATTATTTCTTATAACGAAATGAAAGAAGAGTTATAAATTAGTTAGTTGCTTAGGTGATCAAAATTCTAGTCATTAATTAAAAAGTCATCGTTTTAAAATAACATCACAAAGAAAATTTAAATTCACAGTCTTAAGTTTTAATACCCTCAATAGTTTTATTCATATCACTGGGAATTTGATAATTGCTGAAAGTATTACAAAATTATAAACTAGAAGTCGTATATATAGTACGTGATACTGAATGATTAGTAAATCCTTTTTTCCAGAAACACGGACTGAGTGAACTAATCTCCCAAGCAAAGTCCTCATAATGACTTAACAAGAACTATTGATCAATATATTGACGATGACATAACTGAAGATTATTTTCATTACAAAATGATGTCAACGAAAAATCTCATAAAATCATGTTATGTTTTACAATTGTATATTTCTATTCTAAGACACCTAAGTTCATGATGAGTAACATCATAAAATTTAAAAAATTGGAAAATTATTTGGAATAGAAATATGGAAATGTGAAAAGTTTACTTATTTATTTGATGACAAGCAGTTAATTCAGAATCATTCACAAATAAAGCAGCTTAAGTTATTTTTAGTTTACATAAGTTACAGTAAAAATACAGACATAATCAATATATTTGAAAAGAAACAAACATCCATTACAAATAACATTATTGTTCTTTCAAAAACTAATTTATGCAATTAAAATAACCCATAGTGTCACTGAGTTCGTCTTTTCCTACTAATTTATGCACTAAACTTCAATTTTTCTTATTTAATAACTTCAACACTTACTACTGTATTATCTTTTTGATTGAGATCATAAACCGATTGATGTTAAAGTACCATTGAAAACCTGGAAGCACTGAACAACCGTTTCGCCCTGTTGTGGGATTCCTCAGAAGTGTTCATCCACGATCCCGCTCACGGGATCTCAATCGAAAACATAATAATCTTCACAACTGCATATTGACTACGTTATCTGTTAGAAATGTAGTTTATTCTTCACGTAGGTTTTATTAAATTTACTTTTTAATTAGTTACTTCTCCTTGTGCAATCAAAAATGTGATTAGAAAATACACATTTTTATTTGTTTTTGGTAAAATTGTTATTGTTTGTCTTATTTTTAAGCAGAGTTTATTAAGAAGTTACACTGCCGTTTATGCTGCATTATTTGAATACCTTATTATGAATTATTTTATTTGTTAGTGTAATGAAGTACCAAACATTTCAGTGATAATATTGCTAACTGAGACACTGTAGAAGGCAGTTCCGAATCTTTGAGGGAAAACATTTTTACATATTGTTAATGGCGTAAATGCCTAGGTCCATAGCTGATTAATGTAAATATTTCTCTCGAGTACCATATATATATATATAATTATTGGTTTTAGTCCAATAAAAATCCCAGTAAACTAAGATGTTTGCTGATTAACTTTTAACAGCTGAACTAAGAGTTTAAATCAATTGGCTTCCTTTGAATTTTACTCGGAATTCCATGAAACTTTATTTTGGGTGTTGGATGGCTGGAAGTAGTCGATAGGGTATTGTAGAACTAGGTTTCATGCTAGATGGCACTCATCAGTATGCCTTACCTTCTGTATTTACTGATTTTTCTTTGGGGATTCAAAACTGTGTCATCCATATCCATGGGTTAAAATGCTACTATTGATCTATTTCTGAATCTAGCAACCTCCTACAAAATCGAGGTATCTAAAACTGATTGACCACTGTGTGGTGACCAATGTCATGTTTGACTCAGACTATGGATCTAAGCAACTCAGGTTCGAATGCCATAAGAGACAGCAATTACTCTAGGATTTCCTTTTCACGACATTCAAACGAAGTACAAGCTATGTTAAGTCACTGAGACTTATGGCTACACTGAAACTTGATAGAAAGCTTTTCATCATCACCATCGACTAGACATACGTAATAGTGGACACTACTCAGTTTTAGTCACTATTTTTTAAGATCAACAGAAAATTCTAATTCTCGCAGTAGGTGATGGATTGTTACATTTAATAAAGCCATCAGAGATAATTTACATTTATCAGATAACTACAATGTTTCTATCAATTTTATCTAACATATTATTATGCTGATTTTGGCAGATATCTGTTGCATAATCGATTACTTTATTCAATTTCTAACTAACAAAATATAATGAATATTACGCTGTTAAAAGTTCATAATTGACATAGACTGTCAAACCACCCACTTCTTAAACTCATTCAGTTGATCACATGCATTCTGTTTTAGAAAAACAAACAGCTATCATGTCTCAAACTAATCCAAGTTATTCTGGCACATTTGTTTTAGATACAATTACACCTTATCCATCCACCATTATTACCATCAATCCTTTGATGAAAAATTATTTAGACATCACTTAAATAATCATGCCGTATTAATCTTTTTGTATACTTTAGAGACTAAAGAAACTCCAAAAGCAACTTTTTACATCAGATAGGACACTGTTATTGTTGTTTTGTCGTTTTCTTTTCTATACAAAACAAATTCATCACTATGGTTTCACAGTGTAAACCACTAATTAAAATATCTGATAACATAAATACTTCTTTATCATATTAACTGATGAGATTAATAACAATCCTTATTGAGACAGGAAATCCACAAAACCAAATTTTAAAAAATGATAATCATGACAGTTATTAAGTAAAGATATTTTTTTCAAATTGTAATTACTGTGATAATAATGGTAATATTAACAATATGGATTGTTGCATACTGCTCCTCTGAAAATGCATTATATGTTCTAGCATCTGTAAGTGTATCTTATTTCACAAGTGAGATTACAGGAACTTTAAATGCTTAGCCATTCTTATTACTGAATTCACTAAGTAAAACTACCTACCTGCAGTTCATTTACGTTAACACAGCCCCTGGCAACCCTGACTAATTTGCATAATATCTAGAATGAACAGTATGTCCCTGAGTCACATGACATATGCATTATGGTAAACCTGACTAACATATTTTAGTAATTATTGCTTTGTTGTTCCGTGTTCTCTGTTTCCATTTTACTTTTTTTAGTTGTATATGATTATAATTAATTCACTATGGTACAGGAAACATTAAATACACTGTTCATAGATCAACAAGAAGTCCACTTAAGAAGAATTAAAAGTTCTCAGCTGATATATTGCATTCCTGTAATACATGTTATAAATGTACTACTTAATCAATTTTTAAACTAGTAAACTTAAAATAATCTTATATCACATGATTGCTCTCTACATTCAATGTTATTATTTATATCAAATCCGATCATGCCTGTAACCTGGCATGAATTCTGTAATTATTATTTTCAGAATATATATATATTATTTACAATCAGTCTAATTACTTTTATACATACAGTTCCCTTTTATCATCTTGAAGAGAGCAAGAACAAAGATTACTTTGATTTTAATTTTAAACCAGAAGTGATAAATAAGTTTTTATGAAAAGAAATCCAAATGAATCATAAACTAGTGAAAATTCCTATTTTGACATTTGGTAAATAAAGAAGGAATGAATCGAGCGAGGAAATTTCCTTTCATTTAGTTTTTCGTCATAGCTCTACACTAATATA